ATACATACATACATACATACATACATACATACATACATACATACATACATACATACATAATACATTACATACATACATACATACATACATACATACATACATACATACATACATACATACATACATACATACATACATACATACATACATACATACATACATACATACATACATACATACATACATACATACATACATACATACATACATACATACATACATACATACATACATACATACATACATACATACATACATACATACATACATTACATTACATTACATACATACATACATACATACATACATACATACATACATACATACATACATACATACATACATACATACATACATACATACATACATACATACATACATACATACATACATACATACATACATACATACATACATACATTACATACATACATACATACATACATACATACATACATACATACATACATACATACATACATACATACATACATACATACATACATACATACATACATACATACATACATACATACATACATACATACATACATACATACATACATACATACATACATACATACATACATACATACATACATACATACATACATACATACATACATACATACATACATACATACATACATACATACATACATACATACATTACATACATACATACATACATACATACATACATACATACATACATACATACATACATACATACATTACATACATTACATACATTACATACATTACATACATACATACATACATACATACATACATACATACATACATACATACATACATACATACATACATACATACATACACATACATACATACATACATACATACATACATACATACATACATACATACATACATACATACATACATACATACATACATACATACATACATACATACATACATACATACATACATACATTACATACATACGTACATACATACATACATACATACATACATACATACATACATACATACATACATACATACATACATACATACATACATACATACATACATACATACATACATACATACATACATACATACATACATACATACATTACATACATTACATACATACATACATACATACATACATACATACATACATACATACATACATACATTACATTACATACATTACATTACATTACATTACATTACATTACATTACATTACATTACATTACATTACATTACATTACATTACATTACATTACATTACATACATACATACATACATACATACATACATACATACATACATACATACATTACATACATACATACATACATACATTACATTACATACATACATACATACATACATACATACATACATTACATTACATTACATTACATTACATTACATTACATACAGTACATACATACATTACATTACATTACATTACATACATTACATACATACATACATACATACATACATACATACATACATACATACATACATACATACATACATACATACATACATACATTACATACATACATACATACATACATTACATACATACATTACATACATACATTACATACATACATACATACATACATTACATACATACATACATACATACATACATACATACATTACACTACATTACATTACATTACATTACATTACATTACATACATACATTACATTACATTACATTACATACATACATACATACATACATACATACATACATACATACATACATACATACATACATACATACATACATACATACATACATACATACATACATACATACATACATACATACATACATACATACATACATACATACATACATACATACATACCATACATACATACATACATTACATACATACATACATACATACATACATACATACATACATACATACATACATTACATTACATACATACATTACATTACATTACATTACATTACATTACATTACATTACATTACATTACATTACATTACATTACATTACATTACATACATACATTACATTACATTACATACATACATACATACATACATACATTACATACATACATACATACATACATACATACATACATACATACATACATACATACATACATACATACATACATACATACATACATACATACATACATACATACATACATACATACATACATACATATACATACATACATACATACATACATACATACATACATACATACATACATACATACATACATACATACATTACATTACATTACATTACATTACATACATACATACATACATACATACATACATACATACATACATACATACATACATACATACATTACATACATACATACATACATACATACATACATACATACATACATACATACATACATACATACATACATACATACATACATACATACATACATACATACATACATACATACATACATACATACATACATACATATACATACATACATACATACATACATACATACATACATACATACATACATACATACATACATACATACATACATACATACATACATACATTACATACATACATACATACATACATACATACATACATACATACATACATACATACATTACATACATACATACATACATACATACATACATACATACATACATACATACATACATACATACATACATACATACATACATACATACATACATACATACATACATACATACATACATACATACATACATACATACATACATACATACATACATACATACATTACATACATTACATACATACATACATACATACATACATACATACATACATACATACATACATTACATACATACATACATACATACATACATACATACATACATACATACATACATACATACATACATACATACATACATACATACATACATGCATACATACATACATACATACATACATACATTACATACATACATACATACATACATACATACATTACATACATACATACATACATATACATTACATACATACATACATACATACATACATACATACATACATACATACATACATACATACATACATACATACATACATACATACATACATACATACATACATACATACATACATACATACATACATACATACATACATACATACATACATACATACATACATACATACATACATACATACATTACATACATTACATACATACATACATACATACATTACATACATATTACATACATACATACATACATACATACATACATACATACATACATACATACATACATACATACATACATACATACATACATACATACATACATACATACATTACATTACATACATACATACATTACATACATACATACATACATACATACATACATACATACATACATTACATACATACATACATACATACATACATACATTACATACATACATACATACATACATACATACATACATACATACATACATACATACATACATACATACATACATACATACATACATACATACATACATATACATACATACATACATACATACATACATACATACATGCATACATACATACATACATACATACATACATACATACATTACATACATACATACATACATACATACATTACATTACATTACATTACATTACATTACATTACATACATACATACATACATTACATTACATTACATTACATTACATTACATTCCACATTACATTACATACATACATTACATACATACATACATACATACATACATACATACATACATACATTACATACATACATACATACATACATACATACATACATACATACATACATACATACATACATACATACATACATACATACATACATACATACATACATACATACATACATACATACATACATACATACATACATACATACATACATACATACATACATACATACATACATACATACATACATTACATACATACATACATACATACATACATACATACATACATACATACATTACATACATACACATTACATACATACATACATGCATTACATTACATTACATTACATTACATTCATACATACATACGGTACATTGCATTGCATTACATTCCATTACATTACATGACATGACATTGCAGACATACACACATACATCACATACATTGCGCACATTACATTACATTACATTACATTACATTACATTACATACATACATTACATTACATTACATTACATACATACATACATTACACACATACATTACATTACATTACATTACATTACATTACATGTCATTTCATTTCATTACATGACATCACATTACATACATACATAAATACATACATACATTACATACACACATGACATACATACATTACAGTAAATATATTAATATAGATACATACATCGTACATACATACATGCATGCATGGATGCATGCATGCATGAATGATACACTCATACATACATTACATTACATTACGTTACGTTACGTGACGTTACATTGCATTACATTGCATTACATGCCTACATTACATGCATTACATGCATTAAGTACAATACATACATTACATATATTCATAAATACATAACAGAACACAACATAACATAACACTACATTACAACAAATTGCTTTACATGCGTACATACATTGCATTGCGTTATAGTGCATTGCATTTTGCATTGCAGTACATTACATTCCATTACATTGCATTGCATTACGTTGCATTTCATTACATTCCATTTCATTGTGTGCCACTTAAGGCCACTTCAGGCCACTTAATGCATTGTATTGTATTGCATTGCATTACATTACATTCCGTTTCATTACCTTATATTGCATTGCATTGCATTTTTGGCCATTGCATTGCATTGCACTGCATTGCATGCGCCCCAGTGTTCTGAGCTTCGCTTCCAGCCTGCGGTGCCTGTGCCAAGGCTTTGGCACATTCACTGCCACTGCGTCTGTGCCTGGCACAACCCGACATCTAACCGGAGGAACCCCGAAGGCTTGGCTTGCCTTAGGTTGCCCTTAGCAGCCTAGCAAAGACAACGGCACCTGCAAAGCCCGGAGAATCCACGTTGCAGCTGGAGGTGCTCCGCAATGAGTTCAGATGAATATTCAAGTTGTTTTCTCTCCCGTTGGTTTTTCTTTGCAGCCAACCTGAAAAGGGTTCTTCAAAAAACAACTACATGGTTTGTCTTTGTTTAGGGACCCCTCCAAGCGGTTTTTCCTCTCGGTTTCCTTCTAAACCACCACAAAATTGGCTACCAACTAAAAAAAACAAAAACATATGGCTTTCCCGGAGTCACCAACCACAAAAACAATATCAGGGTTCGACTTTCCAAGCCAATAGCTTTCAGGCTTAATCCAAGCTTTCTCAGATCTAGAAATTGATCTGCATATTCTACAGTCCTGAATATAAGGGAACCACAAACAATCGATCTTCGTTATGGGCTCTCAGCTTTCAGTTCTCGTTTTCCCAGATCGGAAGCTCACATGTGGCTGAACACATTGGACCCATTGGGAGCCCCAACTGGTAGTTTCTTGGGGGTTTCCGGTGCGTTTCTATCAGGTGGATGCGGCAATAAGCAAATGCCAAGCACACCTCTTTAAACAAGCACACCTCGGCCTAGCCTGAAAAAGGCCAGGGTTCCGGCCGAGGCAAGACCAAGCAAAAGGCCCAGCCCTTCCTGCCTGGCTTCCAGTTTGAAGATGCATGAACATTTAGGGAGCAATCGCAGCAATCTCCTTTTTTCTCCAGGAGTCTTCCCAAAAGAAGTTGTTTTTAAGGATCTCCTGGATATATGTTGCCAGCTGAAAAAACAAACAAAGCTGTGGGAGATGTGCTTGCCATTGGGCAACCAGGGTACACCAAAGACATATGACCAGCACATCCATATGTGTTTGTGTGTGTGTCTGCGCGTGCGTCAAAAAAAGGATTTGAACCCCCTAAATGGTGCTCGTCCTTTTGCTCGCGCGTTAAACCCCCCCCCAAAAAAAAAACACAAATACTCTCAAAACCAAACGCAAGCACTCGCACACACACACACACAAACCCATGTTTAGCCAACTACAACATACACAAACTTATCGGACAAGACCCCAGATAGAGGTATAGTAGAATTCACCGCAGAAGAGAGAACATGATTGCAATTGTCCTGGACAAAATTATACTACCAGCCACCACAACAGCTAATTGTGTGAGCGCAACTGAGAAACAAATGGGTTTGTTTAGGAGCTGGAACCCGCTATTAAAACACATCAAACGAATCCTCTGAGTTCTACATTTGCCATTTTCCCAAGTCCATGCGTCTTACGCATTGCCATTTGGATTTGGGGTTGTCCCAATGAAGGGAATGCCTTCCATCGGGCCCTTGTGTTTCCTCCGGTTGCACCAACCCCCAGGGAGGAAAACTGAACATGGTTTCAGTAGTGCTAGATTCCCTTCAAAACCAAACAGGGGGAAAGTAGCTTCACATCTTCTAACGCTAAATGGAGGTATCCAAGTGCCATTTTTGTTTTGGTTTCAGAACTCGCCTGGAGCGCTCCGATGATCAGGGCACGCGTGTAGTTGTTGCGGGCCGCTAAGCTCTGGAGAGCTCCATGTTGCTGCTCAGGGTCCTGGAGATCGGCTCAAAGTTGACTTTTGGGTTCTCAACAATATGGACCCCGATTTGGACCCCTGAGAAGAAGGCCGGCCCCACATAAACCATGGCCCAGAAATGGTATCCATTGTTGACACTCATCATCTTGGACGTCAAAAATGAGCGCCAGTGATATTCCTCAACTGCCCCGGACCGGAACCCTCCCTGAAAGCTGCCCCGAACCACCCCAATGCTTATTCGTGCCTGGCGAGCCAAAAGCTTTCAGCTGGGGAAAAAGCATACAGAAGCCATGGTTCAAATTCAGTCTCATATTTAGTCTACAATAATTTTGAACTAGTTTTGGAGCAGGGAGATTTGCCGGATCTTTGGTGACTCCCGGATCCCCAAACATTTTTTGGACACACCCTAATCCACAAGGTTCTAATGTGTTCCCCTATTCTTTATGGGTCTCCCTAGAATGAAAATTGTTTTCGGCAATCCCGAATCCGCGAATACTGCTTTCACGGCCGGACCCTATGTCTTGCCCGGCGTCTGCCGCCCCCGACCCGACTCCGACCCATCCCGACCGCGGTTCCCGCGCATGCGTTTTTCCAGGTCTGTGGCTGATCTAAAACTCATCATACATACATCTACCGGCAATGCTTCCACTGAAATGCCTGACTAGGGGGCAGGCGCAGCCTTCCAGTATACAAAGCAAGCCACAAATCCAGCCCTATTCGGGGGACCCGCAGGTACGTTTCGATTTCCTGTGCTGCGGTTGTGCTAAAAAGTTGCGACTTTCGAGCCGGAGCTCCGGAAGTATATTTCCTGTACTGCGGTTGTACTAGAAAGTTGTGACTTTCGAGCCGGAGCTCCGGGAGTATGTTTCCTGTACTGCGGTTGTACTAGAAAGTTGCGACTTTCGAGCCGGAGCTCCGGGAGTACGTTTGCAATACTACGGCTGCATCACAAAGTCCCTTTTTTCGAGCCGGAGCTCCGGGAGTACGTTTCCTGTACTGCGGCTGTACTACAAAGTCGCAACTTTCAAGCCGGAGCTCTGGGAGTGCGTTTCCTTTACTGCGGTTTTACTGGAAAGTTGCGACTTTCGAGCCGGAGCTCCGGGAGTATGTTTCCTGCACTACGGCTGTACTACAAAATTGCCACTTTCGAGCCGGAGCTCCGGGAGTGCGTTTCCTTTACGACGGCTGTACTACAAAGTTGCGACTTTCGAGCCGGAGCTCCGGGAGCACGTTCCTTCACTACGGCTGCACTACAAAGTTGCGACTTTCGAGCCGGAGCTCCTGGAGTACGTTTCCTTTACTACAGCTGTGCTACAAAGTTGCGACTTTCGAGCCAGAGCTCCGCGAGTACGTTCCCTTTCCTAGACTCGTGCTACAAAGTTGCGACTTTCGAGCCGAACATAACCTCGACTTCTGCTGTTTAAGCTCCTCACTCGGAAATGGCCGTTTCATGCGATGTTGCAGCCCGAAAAAGGGGGGCCGCAGTTGCAGCAAAGTTTGCAAAGAACAAGTTCGAGAGGTACCTCCAAAACCTGCCCTCCAGAACCAGAGGCCCCCGAATGACAAAAAATGCTTTGTCGGCAGGTTTATAGTGAGCAGGATTTTTAGTCAAAGGAAGTTTAGAAGGAACTTCCGTGTTACGGCAACTAATTGAAACCCAGCTCTCGCTGAGACAGATGAAGAGAGAAGGAATAAGCGCGCGAGAAAATATGTGCGCGCGTGTGGTGGGAGTATAGAAAGCTGCAAAAAGCATGGCCCCGTGCGTGAATTGGTGTCTCCGGAGAGCCGAAAGCTAGCCTGTTCGCGGCGCCTGGTCGGACCACTCTAGCGCGGGCCCATTGGCACGGCAACGCGGAGGTTTCGCAAGGATTGAATTGCGTGGCAGGCGCAGCACTTTCGCAAGGTGAGGTGCAGATTTCGTGGCAGGCGCAGCACTTTCGCAAGGTCAACTTTTCTCAAGGTTTGAATTGCGTGGCAGGCGCAGCACTTTCGAAAGGACAGGTGCAGATTTCGCGGCAGGCGCAGCACTTTCGCAAGGTCAAGTGCAGAATTCGTGGCAGGCGCAGCACTTTCGCACGGTGAAGCAAAGATTTCGTGGCAGGCGCAGAGGTCAAGTGCAGAATTCGTGGCAGGTGCAGCACTTTCGCAAGGTCAAGTGCAGAATGCGTGGCAGGCGCAACATTTTGGCAAGGTCTGGTGCAGATTTCGTGGCAGGCGCAGCACTTTCGCAAGGTCAAGTGCAGAATTTGTGGCAGGCGCAGCACTTTCGCACGGTGAAGCAAAGATTTCGTGGCAGGCGCAGCATTCTCGCAAGGTCAACTTTCGCAGCCGGGGCTCGAAAAATCGCAACTCTTCAGTACGAAAGTAGTACGCGAAGTCCACTTTCGCAGCTCGGCCTCCAAAATCGCAACTTTTAAGTACGAAACTAGTACGCGAAGTCCACTTTTGCAGCTGGGGCTTGAAAATCGATAGGCAGATAGATAGATAGAAAAAGAGATAGAGAGAGAGATAAATAGATAGATAGAGAGAGAGAGAGAGATAGATAGATAGATAGATAGATGGATAGATAGAGATAGATAGATAGATAGATGGATAGATAGATAGATAGAGATAGAGAGAAAGAGATAGAGAGATAGATAAATAGATAGATAGGTAGATAGAGAGATAGATAGATAGATAGATAGACAGATAAATAGAGAGAGAGAGAGATAAAAAGAGAAATAGATAGATAAATAAACAGCAGATAGATAGATAGATAGAGAGACAGATAGATAGATAGAGAGAGATAAATAGCTAGATAGAAAGAGAGATAGATAGATAGATAGATAGATAAGTACATGGATAAAGAAATACATAGATAGATAGATAGATAGATAGACAAATAAATAAATAAATAGATAGATGGATAGGTAGATAGAGGGATACATCTAGAGATAGAGAGATAGATAGACAGAGAGATAGAAAGAGATAGAGAGAGATAGAGAGAGATAGATAGATAGAAAGAGAGATATAGAGATAGGTAGAGAGATAAACAGATAGATAGATAGATAAACAAACAGAAGATAGATAAACAGATAGATTGATAGATAGAGAAATAGATAGATAATTAGATAGATAGATAGAGAGATAGATAGATAGATAGATAGGTAGATGGATAGAGACATAGATAGATAGATAGATAGATAAATAGATAGATGGATGGACAGATAGAGAGAGAGATAGAGGGATAGAGAGATAGATAGACAGAAAGAAAGAGAGATAGAGAGCTAGGTAGTTATCTAGATAGAGAGATAGAGATAGATAGATAGGTAGTTAGGTAGATAGAGGTAGAGAAAGAAAGATAGATAGATAGATAGACAGATAAAAAGACAGAGAAGAGACAAAAGAAAGAACAGCACAAAAATAAGCAAACAAAAGAAAGAAAGAAAAGACAGATAGAAAGAAGGAAAGAAGGGAGGAAGGAGGGAAGAAAGGAAGACTGACGGAGAAAAAGAAACAATGAAAAGGAAGAAGAAGAGGAAAAGAGTCAAGAAAAGAAAGAGAAAGAGAACTATAGTGTTTATATTTTTGAAACTTCCGCCCACCGGCTTCGCCGGCTCTACTGGTATATTACCATTATATTATTATAATTACTATTACTATTGCTATTACTGTTACTACTACTACTACTACTACTACTACTACTACTACTACTACTACTACTACTACTACTACTACTGCTACTACTACTACTACCATTAGGGGGGCCCTTTTCTTATGGGGTATGGGTTTGAATTCGGAGCCCTTTGGTGGGAATGATTTTGGTGGGGATTTATCTCCACCAACCACTTTTCAGGGGGTTTCCCATTAAAGTTCGTAGCCACATGGACTCACAATAGATACTTGAACACACAACACGTTGGGTTGCCGGGGAGGGTTTGCGCGGACGGAATGACGGTCTCTCTTAGACGTGGGTTGGGAATTGTGCAAATCCTATGCGAATAGCCGTGAATCGTGGCTTCGGTGGGATCACAGAAAAGTCTGCAAATGTCCGACTTTGCGTATTTAAATCTCAGATTCGAATACGCGGCGCTGGCAGACGCAGCATTCCCATTTGCTCGCAGCAGTGTGGCTTGATTCTCTTAGTGAGAGACCTTCAGAATGCCACCAACACTTTCATGCAGCTGTCCAGGCCGGGCTGCCTTGAAGATGCGAAGCAGACAAGTCATGAGCTGCGCTGATAACTTGCTGGCAGAACTTCCATTCCTGCTCGGTACTGACAGCGCAGCGGAGACAAAGACCAGCATTCGGGAACGTAGCTCCTTCAAACGCAAGAAGACCTCCGCTATCTGCGCGTTCTACACGCCTGCGCAGTTTCATTGGCTTATCTGACACGCTGCTACTTGTCCGCAGGTGGTTTTAGACACCTGGTGTCTAAGAGGGCTTGGGTAGTCACATGGCCTGCGGGGCGCGGGGGTTGGGATCGACTAGTTTGAAAAAAAAAACGACAAAAAACGACACGCTGGAAACGGACCCGTGTTCTTTCCATCCCCGCCCCCCCACTTTCCCTCAAACACGCTGGGCAGCATAAAAGTCCGGGCAACTGAACCAGCTGCTCGGAGCAACCCAGTGTACACATGCTCGATTTTCCACCTGTGGATCTACCTACGGGGGTTGAACAGAAGACACAAATACCCACCCCTGTGGTTTCCCTTGAGAACAACCCTTCAAGAGGGGTGCCATCAAAACCAACACCAGGATTGCCAATCATGTTGAACATGTAGTTACATGTTCTCCCCAACAAGTAGGCTCCAGTCATGGTTACAAGCGCGACAGCTGGAATGTAGCTGTGGATATAACATATCTAATTGGGCAAACCTGGTAGTTGGAGAGCGGCGTGCCGCGAACCTTGTTGATTCCCGTTATGGTCCCGAGATGGGGCAATCATCAGATCCGGAGGTGTGGCATCCAACAACGGATGTGGGTGTTTAACGGGAAGCCCCCAAGATTGAAAACGCATACACACACACACACACACACACACACACACACACACACACACACACACACACACACACACACACACACACACACACACACACACACACACACACACACACACACACACACACACACACACACACACACACACACACACACACACACACACACACACACACACAACAACAAAAACGGACACGGACACACAGACAGACGGAGACGGACACGGACACGGACACGGACGCAGAGACGGACACGGACACAGGGACAGACACGGACACGGACACGGACACAAAGACACGGACGCGGACACGCACGCGGACATGGACACCGACACTGACAGAGACACGGAGGCGGAGACGGATGCGGACATGGACCCGGACCCGGACCGGGACCCGGATGCGCAGACGCGGACGCGGACACGGACACGGACGCGGACGCGGACGCGGACACGGACACAGACACAGACACGGACACAGACACGGACACGGACACGGACGCGGACACGGACGCGGACGCGGACGCGGACGCGGACGCGGACGCGGACGCGGACGCGGACACGGACACGGACACGGACACGGACACGGACACGGACACGGACACGGACACGGACACGGACACGGACACGGACACGGACACGGACACGGACACGGACACGGACACGGACACGGACACGGACACGGACACGGACACGGACACGGACACGGACACGGACACGGACACGGACACGGACACGGACACGGACACGGACACGGACACGGACACGGACACGGACACGGACACGGACACGGACACGGACACGGACACGGACACGGACACGGACACACACACACACACGATCAGTCTGCTCCGAGAAAAGGGGCGCAATTAATCATGGGATACGGACCAAAGGGTTACAGGCACACCCGGACCGGCTGACGGGTCCCGTTGGCAAGGAAACCCAGGACCCAGAATCCGGGTGGATGTCCATGGGAAAAAAGAATCGGTACTCACTTTTTGGGGTACCCTCCCAGCAATCATTGGAAGCTGACAGAAGGGTGTTGGAAGACTGACTACTTTCCTTGTGGGGAAGCCCTTTGTCCTTATTGGTAACAGTCTGAAATTTTAAAGGGAAATCCCTCCAAGAAAAAGCACCCGCTAGATGTCTAGCAAAAACAGTGGCGCCAGCCAAAAGGTGTCTACATGGGTCTTGCCAAATGTTCCCTTTAAACATGACCCCAAAAGAAACCTCACTGCAAAACGGCACCCAATGGGTGATGTTGAAAAGCACCACAACTCCTCTCTAGGCCTTAAGTGCTTGTCCTAGGCTGATCTGAGTTTTGCACATAAAGACCCCCCCCAAGGTCCATGGCCTTAGGGGGAAGTCTAGGAAGTGTCGGGAAGCGGTTTTTGCTTCTTCCAGTCACTCACCTGGCGGGCCAAGCCCGGTCTATGCCAAGCCCGGGACAAGCCCAGAGCGGAGAAAAAACACAAAATCCTTCAGCGCCTTAAGGTTAGACAAGGCCATTGGACCCCCATACCCTTCTCTCTGAGGGGTGACCCTGACAAAAAGAACCGATTAGATTTTGAACAGTTGGGATTTTAAGAGTTGCGTATCACAAACGTCAAACTGCATGAAACACACATATCTTCACTCAAGTGTCCTGCAAGTCGAGCGATTGCTGGACCAGCCTCTTGTACATGTCCCGGGTGTTCTTGCCTGGGTTCCGAAGGAGCTGCCAAAGGACAAGCCCTCTTGCAAACAAAGGTCCCTATGTGACTATGTGAGTGGGCTTAACCAGGTCATAGCTGTCTATGACCAATCACTAGGAACTATTTGTTGATCTGCAACCCCTGTTACTGAGACTGGCTAAGAGTCGTCATTGTCCAAAAGGTTCGCATGGCGCTTCTAGCCGCAGGATGCCCCCTATGTTTTGCATGTAAACAATGTAAACCAACTATACTGAACTACAACAGGGTAAATCATGGTAAGTTCGGGGGTTCTCAGAATCAGTTCCCAAACATGGGCTTCCTTTCGGCGTCCCTTCAGATACCAAGCAACACGGGGGGGGGTCCTTAGCATCCACAGCGGGGGTTTCTTACCAGGTATCATGGATTCACCCTCTGGGAAAACATGCCACAAAAACCGGGCCAAAGACCTCCCAAACTGATTTCGGATTTATTTGGCGCTATGTGTGTGTCTCTGTGTGTGTGTGTGTTTGTTGTATTGGTATGGTCGAAAGAAAATCACCAACGTGTTGGGTCGCCGCAGGGGCACATACCCATTTTGCCATAAGGATAAAAGGTTGTGTCGGACGTACCAAAGAGAAGTTCGCTACTGATCCAGTGGATAAGCCAAAAGCCAGTGCCATTCATTTTTTGTGACCCAAAAGTCGGCTGTGCGAGGTACGTCGCCAAGTTGCGCGGACGCTTATTGTTCTGGGGCACTTGATGCTCGCCGTGGCAGTATCTGCAGTTCTCCGCAAAGCACCTTCCAAGGGAAGCCAAGAGGACGCAGGGGTTGCACTTGCCGGTGACATGGGCTGTGGAGACCGCAATCGCTTCCTCTCCTTGGTTGTGAACCGCGTCATACAACGAAACTCCAAACGTCTAAACATCTAAACATCTAGCAGCTTAAACTTGCTGGTTCTCAGTGAATGTGGCAATAAACCCAGAGGTCCCCTTAAAGGAAACCACAAGGGATGGTGTATAAGGGTCATTCCCTCATTCCCTGCTGAGCACCAGCAAGGGTTTGCTGAGTTGATCCCTCGAAACTCTAAGAAAACGTATGGCTCACCGCCAAGTCTCCATCGCTGACCCCATCGGCTCCATCACACTCACTGGTATTGCTGGATGTCGGGCTTGCCGTGCTCGTGTCGCAAATATGTGGCACAATTGGCACTTCACTCATCTTGGCCTTGCCAGGAACAACAGGGATCCCGCACAACTTTCCCTTTACTCATTAACCCAAGAGGGCACTCACTTGAAATCGAGGAAACCCGCCAGAGGATATATGGGACCTCCTGTGGTCGCGAACAACAAGCTCAGGAGCCCCGGAAGCCCCTGGAACATCGTGGCACTTTCAATAGGGGCCGACACTCTCGGGGCAGCCTCGCTGGAATCGTTCCCTTCGGGTTTCGAACAAACAAACAAACAACTAGTTATTGAACTATATCCCTAGGGATCATTGAACCCTTTGACGGGGGTCTTAGGGACCTCCGTCGGTTTCGGCTTTGGACCCAAGATGTTTGGTTGATGTCACATGTGTTGCAAAGAAACGAGATGGATCAGGACGCTGGTTACAGTAGAGAAACAGTTGTTGCAGGCAACAAACAAACTCTGGGTGGTGTCCCGCACGGCAACCACTGGGACACTTCCGAAACCCTTCCAAACCCTACCTCGAACACCCCGGAGCTTGTCTGGGCAGAGACCCCATAGTTTTCATCTGTTAGAAACAAAAAGGTTTGGGTCGCAGCTTCTTACGATCTTGACTCAAAATGATTGCCACAAGTTACGATCCCCCAACCACAGCACCCCCCAACACACCACCCCGTTCGACCGAAGTTGACTATTTCGAACACGTGCACACATGGTGGGACTAACAAAAAACGGCACCGACAAAAATATTACTCCCCTGCAAACTGACATGGAACCCAAAGGGGTCCTCAAAGTAGAACCTCTGCAAGTCTATTTGGCTGAGCCGGAGAATTTTCTCTAGGGCTGCCACGCGCACGTACCTCTTACCCTGTCAAACAACCCGAAAAAGTGTAACTCGAAAACAGACGAAGCATGACAGCTATTGCCCCCTCAAAGAAAGAGTCCCCCCCCACTTGTTGCAGGTGACTGGGACAATATGTCTCACGTTCGCAAGTCGTAAAACAGAAAAACATCAGAAGAAGCACACAATGAGCGGTGTGTTTTTTTCATTGTGTGGGTCCTTATCATTTTGGCTTGCTTACGCAGCGCCTACGCCACGCCTACGCGAAACGCAACAGTCCACAAAAATGCCTACGCGAGACCAAGCTGACTAGATATCTGCCTGTGCCGCCTACGCGGCAACGAGGAGTGCGGCTACAGGATCAATCCGAGGTGAGCCACCAAGGGCCTCCAGTCAAACTTTGGACAAAATGCCCACGCTAAGCCTACGCGGAGCCTACGCGGCGCCTGCGCGAAATCCGCCTGCTTTGTTTGGAAGTCCGGGATATGCGTTTACCTATTAGCACAACTGGTCTACTAGCAGCAGCGCCGCAGCACGAGTTGCCACCTGCGCTGCCGGACAAGCGAACCTTCTTCCTCTGCCAGCAACCGCCAGCTTGCGCCATCATGCTGCAAACAGCTGGCGAAAAACTACTACCCACAGCTTGCACCAAACTGCCACTCACAAACGGTCACACAACCATGTCTATAGCAACAATGCTCAACATGTCACGTGGCAGTTCAAGCTCAGAAACGGAAGTCTTCGCGACTCCCTACGCGAAGCTTCGCGGCACGAGCCTCTGCGAAATGCCTACGCACGCCTACGCGGATGTGGCCCTGTCAGTCAAACGCCTACGCATCATGTAACAAATGTCGCCGCGAAGATGTGGATATTCATCCAGAAAAACAACTGCTCAGATGAGCCGTGTTTGTTGGTGTGGGGCCTATACACTGGAAGCACATACCTACGCGGAGGCTACGCGGATGTCTTTCCCCCTAGGAATTTGGCTACGCGGAGGCTACGCGGAATATACTTGGTGATGGGTGGCTACCCGGGGGGCTACGCCGGGGCTCCGCGAAAGTGCTTTGGCAAAAGGACGTGTAGAAGTAGTAGTAGTAGTAGTAGTAGTAGTAGTAGTAGTAGTAGTAGTAGTAGTAGTAGTAGTAGTAGTAGTAGTAGTAGTAGTAGTAGTAGTAGTAGTAGTTAGTAGTTAGTAGTTAGTAGTTAGTAGTTAGTAGTTAGTAGCTAGTAGTTAGTAGTTAGTAGTAGTAGTAGTAGTAGTAGTAGTAGTAGTAGTAGTAGTAGTAGTAGTAGTAGTAGTAGTAGTAGTAGTAGTAGTAGAAGTAGAAGTAGTAGTAGTAGCAGTAGCAGTAGCAGTAGCAGTAGTAGTAGCAGCAGTTGTAGTAGTAGCAGTAGTAGTAGCAGTAGTAGTAGTGGTAGGTGCAGTTGCAGTAGCAGCAGTAGCAGTAGTAGCAGTAGTAGTTGGTATTAGCAGTAGTTGTAGTGCGATGATGGAACGGCCGCGCAGGCGGGCATGTGGGCCAGTGGCCTTGATACGCCTTGTGAGGCTACGAGGAATGAGCGAACTCAATTCTGGCCGGGCCAAGGCAAATCAATGTCACCCTCTTTCTTTGACACGCAAGCTTTCAACCTAAGCCTTTAGCTCAAGACACAGGATCTATGCAGAGGCTACGCGGAGGCTACGCGAGGCTACGCGGTCCCAGAGGCTACGCGGCCACCATGCCAGTTCCCCTCTCCTTTTGGCTGCCTTTATTTCGAAACGCTGCTCAAATGACAACAAAGGACAATCCCCATACTTGTCAAAAGTATCACTTTCCCTGGGCGGGAAAAAACCCATCTGGTCGGGTGGCCGAGGCCAGGGGCATAAGGCGGACGTCCTCCGCCCGGTCGCCCTCGGACCAACTTTGGCTCCTCCTGAAACGCCGACTCTCCAGGTCCTGCGGGCAGATCGGATCAGCCAAGGCACTTGAGGCGAAGGGTTTTGGGATTGGGTTGAAACTCTAGGAAAACAACAAAAAAAACGGAAAACCAAAAAACAACATGTTTGCAGAAAAACAAATGCCTGTTTGCAGGTTTGAAGAGTTTTGGATATTTTTTGTAGACGAGGGTTTGAAGAGTTTTTGGCTCGAAGAGGTTTTGGGTTTGGGATTGGTAGGCAACCCAAAAAAACCATTTCTTGCAGAAGACCAATGCACTCCGATGGCTTGCATTCGGGGAGGGCTCCCTTGCAACAAGCCGATCGGGTCTTCTAGCTGAGAGCCACATCTGCGTCGGCTTAGGATCACAGGACCTTAGGAAGTCAGAGGGTTGGGGTCGCTGGGATTTACTCGCACCATCCTGCTGAAGGATTCCTCCAGATAGGAACTTGAGGCTGGAAGTTGGTTAGCTTCGCATTCTCTGGGCACTCGGCGAATGACTCCTGTGCCAGACAACCCATGGCCCCAAAATTTGTAGACAACCTCCACATGTTGGATGAAACTGCTAGGGCCTAAGTGTGTGACCTTTGAAAACACGGTGAAGGACGACAAACCTTGCATCAAGAAGCTGTTAGACTCACAAAATCTGATTTCTCCAGATAGATTCACAAGCACTTGATTGAATCAACTAACATCATGCAACTGTCATGTATGGCGGATTCTTAGCTTCAAAGGAGCCCTCAAAATATGTTTCCCCAGTTTGCTTCGTTGTTAGAAGAGAGCCATTGGGAAACCAACCCTTTTAGGGGACCGCGAGTTTAAGAAACTCGCAAACGGACCATACCGATATATTAACCAAGCCGTTGCCGAATGCCACTGTCTGGAACGGCAACCGGAGTTCTCGCGAAGCTCTTGATCGATCACACACGACGAGTTTCTATATGGTGCCCACCAAAAGAAAAAACAGGTATTGAAAACACAGAATTCCCACATCTCACCCCTTCCAAGGTGATCTAGATTGATGGTTTGGAGGTGAGGTTGGGTGGGAAACCCCACTTACCCACAAGAAGCAGGGGTTCAAATCCAAATCAATACCAATGCAAACCACCCACAAAGAGTTACCTGAAACCGGGGCTTCTGCCACGGTTCGGTCAGATCCGCTCGATTCGAAGAAGCGCGGCTGAGATTGCCATAGAAGTGTCTTTTTGAAGGTACCTGTTTGCTGGTTGGTAAGGGAAATCGGAGGACCATTTGGGTATGAGTCAAAATTGAACCACCAGGGGACCGCAGATTTGAGTCCTTGGTTCCATTTACCAGGCTTCTATTTTGGGTCCCATTTTTGACCCACAGCCATTTTGGAGGGTCCCCTATTTCGAAACAACCTACCATGGATGGACTGAGGAAACAAAAGCGAAGGAGACACAAGACGGCTGGATGGAGGATGGACATGGAAGGATGGAGGGACAGCCAGTGGCGGGATGGAAGGACAAACGGAAGGAAGCGAAGAAGGACGGAATGATGCAGGCAAGGAAGTCAAAAAGCAAGACCCCCAGAATCCGGCCCTTGTTTGATCTCCCTTTAACACAATCGTTGAAAAGGGCACCCTCAAGAAAACACTCAAGGAAGGACGGAAAGATCAAAGGATGGGACCTGTTCACAGCGCCTAATCCATCCTTTCATGAATGCAAGGATGCACGGGTGGTTCTCTACTACTTGTGGTACACACAAGTATGTTGGCAGAAGCAGATTCAGCTTCATATGTACTCCACCGTAGATAAACACCTAAATAAATATAAAAAAACAATAGAACGATCAATAAAGAAATAAATTAAACAACAAATCAATGAGTAAATGAACAAATAAATGAATAAATAAATAAATAAATAAAGGAATAAATAAATAAACAAACCAATGCATGCATATATGCTGTTTTTGAGGAGGTTTCCATCTGCGTAGCTGTTGTAAGTGCCTCTTTGTGCTGAGGGCCATCTGAGGTGCACACAAACAACCATTGGCTGACTCTGATCCACTTAGACTTGGTCTGCCCTGAAATATGACATGCAAAGCCAGGGAAGTGACGAGCCACGAAAAATCAACTGCAGGGAGGCACCGAGAATGGCCAATCCGGGCGTCGGGCGCCTTCCATCCCTCCGGTCCTCTGAGCAAAGGATCTCCAAGAAAGTGTGGCGCTGGAATAGATAGGCGCTCTCCATGTTTCTGAATGAAACCTCTACAGCGCCTCCTGCTATACAAACAACTTCAGCAGCACGCTGGAACATCAAACTCTGCGGGGCCGCGAAAATCGAAGTTGGAGTTGGAAAGGCTCTGAAAGAGCACAACTCAGGTTTCAGGAACGGCACAAACGACAACACTCCTCGGGTGAGGAGTATAATCAAAACTTGGTATCAAAATGGTCTACCCAGAACCATGTAAAGAATTAAGAAGGCGGCCGGTTTTGATTATGGCATAGGTTTTTGCAGACTTTGGTGATCCGGAAGCCGAGGGCATGATCGGAAACTCACGCACGAAAATGGGCGCGGAAACTGCATGGGCTTCCGGTTTCCGGCCAACCAACAAGAACCACGGAGGCTGGCATCCGAAGGGGATCAGCTCCTATAGGTTGAAGCAATTGGATCAAACCATATCAATTTGTCTATCTGTCTATCTGTCTATCTAACGCAAAAAGGACACACCCACATAGTATATAAATAAATATATATATATATACATAATGGGTATGTGTCGAAGGGGTACATGCCTTTAGGTTTCCCTTTAGTGCCACTCCATTTAGGCGCCCTCAAACACGCACAGCCCAATATGGGGATATGGGGGTTCTCAACATGCTGGAGCCCTTTTTAGGTGGGTTTAAGGGGAACCACATCATCTTGGGGGAGTTGTTGTGTTTGAGAAGCACTCACGTGAGCCATGGTCAAAACTCCGAATCTGGGTCGTGGTGTCATGCTTCCCTTGGGACCCTCTACTGCCTGCCAAGCCCGAGGTCTTTTGAAAGGTCCCCAAGCACCAAACTGACGAAGGTTGAACAACCTTTGGTTTGTGTTTTGCCACCCCTTTTGTAGCCTGCAAAACCCCTACTAAAGTAGCCTCTACTAAAGTAGCCTTTCCATCCCCTGAGTTGTTCAAAAGGAAGGATTCCATGGATTTTAATGGACACCGGCGATGGTTTGCAAGGGACACCACCAGGAAGCCATCTCTTTGGTTTGATCCCTTGCAATTTGGCAAAATATGCCACAGATCCCTCCGAACTCTTACCATTTTATACAAGTATGAGCCTGAGTACTGATGGACAAAATCCTACACCACTTGGTGACAGGTCTTAATACTTGTAGACTCTTTCCAGCCTGGGTGGCCATCAACAGTGTGGCTGGGAAGTGCTTCAAGAGATTTCGCCATGGTCACGGGATCCTCACAGCTTCACACACACAGAAAGTACAGCATCTCCCAAACAAAGGGAGAGCTGCAATCATGAGGACAAACACGGGGTACACAATCTCCGCCCGTTTCAGGCTACGGTCCGTCGACCATATGTCAATTCCAACAATCAAGATATGTCCCATGGAACCCCGGGTGTTCAACATGTATCCCAACAACAAGTCACAATTAATGGAGTTTTGAGGGTCAGCAAAAAGACCTTTCATGTCACTTCTGCCGGGCTGCTGGGTCGGAGTTGGCCTTCTCAAAGAGTTCGATGTAAGCGAACCGGTCCTGTAGGCTCATGCTGCCTCGGTCGAACACCCGACTCGCCGACAGAATGCCCTAAATATTCTCAGTGAGATTCAGAACCCAGAAAAATGGGAGCTTCCCAAAATAGGGATCCTGTTCGTTTCCCCACAGCGAGCCCTGCCATCCATTCATGAGCCGAAGATGTTCAAGAGACAAAGCCACTTGGGTGGGATCAACACTATTTGAGGCAGAATCCGGAGCTCGTCATCCTGAGCCATGAGCAGAATGACGAACCGGTGGGATCTTGAAGCCCGCAAAATCCAACCGGAATACCATTCATATGGTTCTTCCTCGCCTCGGCACGATCCAGATACCTCTGAAAACAAGGCCCTGGAGGCAAATTACCAGGGTTGTGTATGGGTCTGCCATTTTTGAGGGTCCCCCAAAATTAGGGTACCAAAGGGAAAACCGAAACCCAGTTTAGGGGGGTTCGAATTTTTGAGACACCCCCATCTTTAGCAAACCCTAAAATATCAGAAAACTCGGAGAAGACCCCAGTTTTGCTCCGCGGCCATTGACGCAAATAGAGGTGATGCCCTGCAGGACGTTCAATTCCTCACTTCGGCTTCGGTCGATCTGGAAGGTGTGGACAACATGTGTGGTGTCCTTTTTTGAGGAGCCCCCTCTGGTTAAGAGAAAGCCAAGAGGAAAACCACATGTGTGGGGGTCCCCTATATACACTCATTTTAGATCCAGGGCCGCGCCGGATCAGAAAATAACTTTCACCATGAACCACGCCTGCAATTTGTGCAATGCCGAATACTGAAATAAGAAATGGATCCTCAAGTAAAGAACCTATCTAGTGAGTTCCTTTTACCCCCTAAAAACCTCATTGATATTGGAGCTCCTTTTTGGCGGCAGTCCTTTTTAACTCCTTGTGGTTTGCAGTGTTTTGCGTGTTGTTTGTATGAGTTCAACCTCGGAATCGCGACCCTGGCACGCGCGACATGCGCAACCTTCCAGTATAAGCGTAGCACGCAAAGTACACTTTGGCAGCTCCCGCTCGAAAAACTCAGCTTTTCAGTACACATGGTACACAAACCACAGTTTGGCGGCTCCAGCTCCAAAATCTCAGCTTTTCAGCACCAGTAGTGCATGAAGTACAGCTTTGGCAGCTCCAGCTCAAAATTAAAACTGTTTGGCAGGTTTACCTCCAAGTGGTCCACCCAATACAAGGGAGGCCACACCTATTTGTGACTGGGATTGGCCCTCAACCTTCACGTGCTGGTCATGACTGTGGCTCAACTGGTTCCGCCAATTGTTGCACTCCTTTAGCACCCGTTCAGCTCCTCTTGGGAATCCATATTCGGCGATCTATGGAAGGGCTGTTCAAAATTTGGCTCGGATCCCTCCGAACTCGGACGGATCCGGGAAACTATGGAACATAAGTTGATAACCCGTGGTAAGGAAGGGGTTTCAAAAGCGACCCAAAAATGAAACAAGAGAACTCATAAAGGTGTGCTGGTGGCTTCATTTACACCCTTCTAGCAGGTAACCAAGGGAAACAGCCTTTAAACACCAAAAGAACAATGGCTGGTGACCTACTATAACGGTCACCGGAATCTACTGGGTGCAATTTTGAGGAAGCACCTCGCACCTTTGCTACGAGCCACCTTCCCGTGCACGTGTTGCTCCTGGGCCTTTAGAGGTGCTGGGCTTTCTAACCTGCTTTTGTTTCTTCGGTTGCCATGGGTTGGCAAGGCCTTGTCCAGGAAGGTGTAGGAAGCTATGCCATGCTCTGTGTGCCAAAAGGTAGCATGGGAAGAAAAACAAAGGGCACTGGTGTTCTTTGGCCGATTTTGAAGGAGTTCGCCTTCGCAGAAATGAGCCTATAGGGCACCACCGGAGTTGAACAAAGGGCTGGCAACCTACTCCGGGTTTGATCGGGCGGTCGAACCGTTCTGAAAACGGGGGGCATAGACACTGCAAGGTAGCTGTTGCAGAATCCCTAAACAAAAACGATGCTAAAAGGTTGCAAAATGACTCTAGGTGTCCACCATTTTGGCTGGGGACTGTTGGTCTCTCTTGACTCTGCGAGTAGAAACCGGAATCGGGCGAGAGCAGACATATCTTCAGGATTCCTAAGACCTTTGGGGCGACCATACATGGCAAACAAAAAACTGGGAACCCTTCATGAAAAGTGGTTGGTAGACATAAATCCCCGGAGCTCAAGATTCAGACTCCCACAGGGTTGTCCTTCGACACGATGGAGGGCATTTTGGCCGTGATTTGATCACTCGGCTGGAAACGAAAGGGTCAACCCTTTGGGGCCTACCACCACCACACTGAATGGACGATTCGGGTGTTGGGGCCGTTTTAACATATTTTTAATGTTTAAACGTGTTTACGCGGTCCGCCTAAACCATGTCTACCTGAGGGGCTGTCTCAACATCGCTTAAACGTTTAAAGATATTCACGGGGACCCCTACGTTCGCCCACCATGTGACAGATTCTATCAACACTCCCGAACTGTATTTCCGCACGGGGTGAGACTTTCACTATGTGGAGCTTGCTTCAAGCATGTTCAAACATCTGATGTTAAAATGTTTTCAAACAAAAATCAAGGGAGGGCCAGCAAACTTGTTTCAACTGCGTTCATGTTTAAACCTTTTGATGTTCAAGCGTGCTTCTCCCTTTCCTGCGGGGCTTTTTCGCCTACTTCGTGGGCTGCGAGTTGCAAGTGAAAGCTGCGAGAGGCAGAGCTGCACAGCAAGGATCAGCCCGTCACTCACGCAAGCTTGTTGTTGCAGGAATTCTGAGGGCAGTGAAGCTGCAGCTGCGACAGGTGCAAAGGGCGAATCATCTGAGTCGAGAAAAATCGATCTAAGCGTCAGCGTGCAGCTCGTTGGCGGCCTCGTTCTTGGGCAAAAAGGCGTAGATCCGCTTGGCCCCGTTCTGCTCGATGCCTTTGTCGGGCGGTGGTTTTGACGGGGAAACTCGTCACTTTCGATGTGGGGTGGCAAAAAGAACAGTGACCGAACTGTTTATATTTTCCCCCTAAAAACGGTCCGAACCCAAAAAGCATGAAGTCCACAGGAAGTGTGAGTCAGGGAAACTCCAGAAAACAAACATTTGGTTTGGCGGTTAGGTATTCCGGTTTGCCTGTCAAAAGGGAAAAGCATGGGACCCCTTGAGGGTTTCTAGGGGGTCCCTCTAGTGTTGCCAAGGAAAGGCCTAGTCTCAATCAGCTTCCCTTCAATTGGCTTGGTTTGGTGGTTTGGAAGTGAAGTGGATCCCATTCACCCTGTACAAGAACCAGGGGGAAAAACCTCCGAACCAGTAATTCAAACACCTACATTTCCCAGATGGCCTGATCTGGAGTACACCAAAACTCATATTTGTATACTCCTGTCCCTTTGGGTGTCTTTTTCGAGGGTCCCCTTTCTTTGCGGTTGCAAAGGAAAACTTGGGGGTCCGATTCCTAAAGCAAGGCACACCTATCTTTTGTCTACCCACCAAATATCTGGAAAGAAAGCCTCCAGGCTTGGCTATGACATGCAGTTGGTTCAATTAGCTTGCTGGAACTCAGCAAAAATGACAAGAACAATGACCCCCATAAACCATCCCTTTTGACTTCCAAAAAGGGAATCACTAGGTTCATTCCCGACACCCTGGGTTATATACTTTCTACTGAGCACCAGCAAGTTGGGTAAGACCCCTAGTTCTTTTGAGAAAGTAGATGAACATACGGGGGGGGATACTGGGTAGGCCCCCTTTTTTTGGTCCTCTCCAACTAAATAAATTATACCGATTATGCCAGAGCTATTGTCCGACAATCATACGCAGATTCTGGCCCAAACGGATGTGCCATTTTTTGTGCAGGTACCCTTATTGTTGTCAAGGGAAACCAAGTGGAGCACCGAAGCCTATAAAATTGCCTTTGGAACAGACTGACTGTCTTCACATCCTACTCACTGTCAGGGCAGTCAACGATTGGGATTCTTATGTGAGTCCGAACTTTCTTATTGGAAGCTTGGTGCTCGTGTGCCCCATTTGACCCTTGGCTCACATACTTCCTGACACGTGGTCGCTATTGAAGCGTCCCTGCGCATAGGAGTCAGCGTCTCGGCACCCGAAACATTAGGACATTAGGACATGCGACCCCACAGACAGAGTGCTCCTTTCGCTTCCCTGTGGTTTTCCTCTGACTTTTCCTTGGTTCCCCTTGAGCTCCCCCTTTGTTCCTTTGGTGTCCCTTTAGTATTCCTTGGGATTTCCTTCGGTTTTCCTTTGGTTATCCTTTGGTTTTGCTTGACCCCCCAATCTTGCAAAGACTCAGGGAGCCCCATCAGCCTGGCCAAACAGTACCCTCAGAAGGCACCTCTGAAAACTCACCAAAAACAATCCAGGGACCCTTTAGGTATGGCAAAGTGAGAGGATGGCAAGCCTTTTGTTGGAAAAGAGCACCGGATGTGTCCCTTGTCCATGACAAATCACCTTTTCCGCAAGGAAGGCCATGCCCATGACATGTTTCCAGAGCCAAGACTGGGTTGCTCCAACCCCCACCCCCCACCAAAATAGGTTGCAAGACCTTTTGTGTGGAAAAGCCCAATATTTTTTGTTTTTCCCAACAGATTTCTCCGAGCCCATCCGGTCACGGCAACCAGCCACCAGCAACCTGCGGTTCCAGCGACCGTCCAACCCGCCGAGCGGCAGGACGCGATGGCCCTCGCCTGGTCTTTCGCCGCCGAGGCCCGGAAACCTCGCCCGGGGGCGGAGAGAGAAGCAGCGGGCGGAGGAATGTGGCGATGGGTCAAAGCCCCGGTGAACGCCCAGCAAGTCTTCTAAAAAGACAACAGAGTGGAAAACCATCCACCCACTGGAAAACCTTGGGAGTTGACCCACAACCATGTGGGTATGTCTTTCTTTGAAAGACCCCCCAAGATGGTTGGCTTCCAATTGGCTTCCCTTTTGAAACCAACCAAAAGAGGCACCCTCAACAAAAGACAGACCCATGTAAATAACTCCGCTTTTTTTGGTCTGTGGTTGACACTATACCAAAAACGACCGGAATCAAATGGTCTCGTGCCGCTCAGGGCTGCCATGCTCAACCTCCCAAAGTCCTGATGATACTTTTGTTTGAGGCCAGTGGTTGCTTCAAAGACACGGGTTTATGGGGCCAAGGAAACCCAGCAACCACTTCGCTGGTTTTTTTCTTCTCGGATTTATGAGATACGGCCGAGCTTTCCCATCGGAGCCCTCCGCTGGATAGCCCCCCTCCATGCGGCACAATCAAAATCTCCTCCGGAGTCCACCAAAAAGTAAGGAACCAAAAGGGCGTTATTGGGATTGTCGCGTGCGAACAATCAGAAATCAGAGTCTACCAAAGAGTCAAGAACCAAAACACCGCGCCCCCCCTGTCCCTTGCGAACTTGTACCCAGGTTTTGATTCTCACCCGAGTTTTGATTGTGGCTCTTCGTTGTTGATTTCCTTCAAGTGTTAGGGAACCACCCCCGACATTCTTCAGATCATTTAAAAAACATATTATTGGCTTGGCTCGAAGAAGAGCTAAAGTACAGGCATCCGATTTTTCATGGTGACAAACAAACCCGACATGGTAGCAACAAACGAGGCACAATATGAGGGTGCAAAAAGAAAGGGCGCCGATTTTGGACAGTGCATTAGCTTCCCCCTTCAAAGTCACAGAAGTTTCCAAAGAAAAATAACATGCGTTCCTGTGGAACAACTGTCATATCGGTTCTTTTCTCTGGGAAACCACGTTTTGGTTGGCTTCAAATAAAAGGGAAATGGGAAGACCAAACACCAACTGTCATATCGGTTCTTTTCTCTGGGAAACCACGTTTTGGTTGGCTTCAAATAAAAGGGAAATGGGAAGACCAAACACCATGTTGGGTCGTCCCCATGACCTTTCTGTTCTACCAAGCAAGCACATCCCTATGACTCCTTTGTCACTCTAAACAAGATTCGAATCTTGGCATCACAGATCGTGGCCCTAAGATCCAGCTTTTCAACTTGCCACAACCACCCTGTTGAGGAAGGCTTTAACGGGAACCTAAGGGAAACCGAAACCCTTTTTGTAGGTTCCCCTTTTCACCCAACCATTTCACAGTCATCCTTAAAGAACTCCTAGCTCCCTCAAAAGCAACCTTTGGAAATCCCCGCAGCTCGGCTCCCTTCCAATCCGGCCAAAGACGTCGCCAAAGCCGTCGCCTTCGACCGAATCCGGTGAAGGCTTCGAGCCTCCGCTTCCGCCGAGCAGATGGAGCTTGGTGTGGCGCAGGAAGCCCAGGCGCACTGCGTCTGAGCGAGGGAGGTGGAAGACCACCGGCCCGTAGCCGCTCCTCTGTGGGAGTTGGATCAAATCATCGGGGTTCCTTCTGGTGACCCAAAACAGGGTAGCCCCCAAAAAGGGTACCCCGTAAACAAAAACGACACATCCATCTCGAGTTCTTGGTCGCTCAAGAAACTGCTTGAGAGTTAGTCTCACCTGAGTAAGTCTAACCGTTTTGTTTTCCACCGACATGATCTTCCCAGCAAGTGACTAACAGTCCAGGAACTCCGGGAGTGAGAGGGAAAGAGTCATTTGTCAAGAAGAGCAGTCAATTGGTTCCGGGAGGAACTGCTAAGTGGTTACTAACTCCAAATAAGCTCCGGCAGCAACAAGTGGTTCAGCTAGCAGCACACAGTGAACAAGCAAAGTTGTAAGCCAACTGGCTAGCAAGCCCCGTTGGTGAGCATGTTCAAACGATGAGTGAAAAGTTAAAGAGCGTGCGCTTTGAGTTGGCTTGCAATTTTGTTGGAGGGACTGAGATGGTTCGGGAGAAATTGCTACGCAGTCAGCTGCGCCAAATAAGCCCCAGTCAGCCCCCCTCTTGACCCGTGTCAGTAAAGGGTCACTAGCCAGTTGGACAAACCTGGGGGGGTGGGGAAACGCAGTGGGCATAGTTTAAAACCAACAGGGGACAATCAAATATTAAGCAAATGCCAAAGGGAATCAGCCGACCTGCCCAACTAAATAGGGGCCGTTGCTCACCGGGTTGTTGGGATTCCTTGTCCATCTGAGAAAACTACACCGCATCCCCCTTGGGTTTAGCAACCGCAAAGAGCAAGCAGGTTAGGACTAGAAAAGGGGAATCCCTAAAAGGGCTTTGGCGAACCTCCCTTGATTTGGTTGGGTTGCAACCACCCGACAACCCTAAACTCAGGATTTGATATATTTCGTGCCTCATATTCTGGAATAGGGGAAAGGATGCAACAATGATCGCACCCGTTGACCCAAACCGGATCCTTCTCTTTGGGAGAATTGTTTGTTTCTGGACAGAAGGATCCGCGAAGAGTAACCCAATCCAGCAAGCCGCTCTCCGCGAATGGCGAAGAATCTGGGCCGGTTCTTGAAGGCCTTCCCTTGCTGAAGGTAAGTCGTGCTGCTCGTGAGGAACACCTCAGAGCTTGCTGACCCGCTCCAAATACACTCCTGTTTAGGGACTATTTGGGAAAACGCTTGTTTCATGGCCAAATTCTCTAGTCGGTGGTTGATATCATACCCTGCCAGAACAAGAGTTTGGAGTAGGCAAAGCAAATCTCTGGGCTATGGAGCCAAAGCTCCACATGGGTGGTTTATAGGGGTGCTCCTTTTGAATGCTCTTTTAGACTTCCCATACGAGCAGTAACGGCATAGCCCCGGTCAACAACGGTCGGGCGGTTTCAACATGTTAACCGACACTTGTTTCTACCTTACCAAATGCTACTTCTTGAAACAACTGCCCAGCCCTGACTTTGAGGGTGATTTAGTGAGTCCCCCCGTCCCGTCCCCCCATGTCCCTCCTAAATGGACGATAACCTGAACACATGGGCAGACTGGAACCGGGCACCTCAATAACTCCAACGAACCAATGGTCTGCCCTCCCCCCAACCAAATATGATGATCTTGTCAGGTTGCACTTGTCAGGTTACTCGTTTCTGATGAAAGCAACAGAGTCCCCTCTATAGGTACTGAATCTTGGCCGAACAAACCGGATCAAGTGGCTTCAAAGGGAAACCCTACCGAAGGGAAGCCCCCAGCAAAATGTTTCGCGGAAAACACCTCTCCGCATCACCTTCTGCGGTGAAATATCTCGCCCCTTGGAGTACTTCCGCAACCCAACACCCACTCTTAGTGCGGGTTCCAAAGTAGAGCACTCGAACTACCCTGGCACCAATCAATATGGAGCCTGAAGTTTGGGGGTCCTGGAAGACAATGTTCCTTTTACAAAGACCGTCTCGACTTAATCCGATGTTACCATCGCCCGAAATCCTTGGTACAGAATCGACACGGCACATATCTTCAGCTATGTCTGGCCCGGACTGTCTTCACTTACTCGGGTTTAGTTGTGACTCACCCGGTTTCTTCCACTGGAATTAAATTCCAAGAGGCGTGGCTTAAGCTACGATTACACCAGAGTGAAGGCCAGCCACTCGGTGGCGCATAGGGATGATCTCATCGTCGAAGAGCTCATCGAGACGGGTCCCCTTCCTTAGCTCTGACCCGGCATGTTTTCCTCTTCCTGCTTGGTTGATCCATCGCTAGAAGCTAAACTTTTAGTGCATATGTCAGCATCCTAACTAAGTCTGCCAGTCTAAGGGGATGGCTGGGAAACGCCGAGAAATAGAGGGTCTAGAAAGATTCTTCACATACACACCCATCCCCTTTTGGCTTGTGCTTGGGACAGTCAAACCGAATTGCACATTTACCCAGACAGAGGGACCGACCAAACCAAAAGTCCAGAACCAAGGCTGGGAAACCCATGGCTCGGGTTTCCAGGACCCTACCCTTCCTTCAAGCAAACCGAAGGGAGCTGCTTAAATGTTCAAAACACAAATTGGCCCAACGCAGACCTGTTTCATATTCAGTCAAGCTCAAAATATTGTTGCCCAATGGACATGGAAATACAAGGCTAACCTTTTGGGGCAATGACTAAAAAGGGACCGAGAAGGGAAACTAAAGGGTCAAAAGGCCGCCTTTGAGTGTTCTGACACCAAAATGGGGCGGACGAATATCACTGGTGCCGTGTTTTCGGAAAATCACCATTTGAAGACGTTTAAACTGCGGGACAAGGGTGCAATAAGGTGCAATATATGTGGACACCGTCCGATTGAATCTGGGCGAAGCTTCCGAGTATATTGCAAAACATGCAATGACCATTAACGTGTTATGTGCATACAAACAAACAACACAACAAACACAAAAACAACAGAGACCGCCATCAAGCAAGTTCAAGTCAGGCATGAAACAACCCACGCATAAACACATTTATTTAACAAACAAAAAGTCAGAGCCCCCATGCTGCTCGCCATACATGAGGCAAGCAAACTCCGGAAGGGGCGGAGTGTGGAACTCTTCATCCTTGCAACCAGTCATGACAATTGGTCTTCAAACACCAACTGGTCACAGTGTGGCCATGAACTTTGCAGTGTAACCCAACACTCAAACAAACAAACAAACAAACACACCTACAAACCTGCAAGCCTAAAAAGAATGAATGAATGAATGAATGAATGAATGAATGAATGAATGAATGAATGAATGAATGAATGAATGAATGAATGAATGAATTAATTAATTAATTAATTAATTAATTAATTAATTGAAATGGATGAATGAATTGAATTGAATTGAGTTGAATTGAATTGAATGAATGAATGAATGAATGAAATAAAAAAGACATAAACAAACAAACAAACAAACAAACAAACAAACAGACAGACAGACAGACAGACAGACAGACAGACAGACAGACAGACAGACAGACAGACAGACACGCAAACAAATCAACCAACAAACAAACAGACCACAAAATCAAACAAACAACCACATACACACACACACACACATACACACACAGACACAGACACAGACACAGACACAGACACAGACACAGACACAGACACAGACACACAGACACAGACACAGACACAGACACAGACACAGACACAGACCCAGACACAGACACAGACACAGACACAGACACACACACACACACACATCGCTTTAGCCCAGGATTCGTTAGCTCCCGCGTGGTAGTGAGACAGTCTTCACAGACCAGCAGGTCAAAGGAGTGGTGGTGCAACCAGGCTAAAGCTTGCGGGATCAGCATGGATCCAGAATGCCCGTTGGTGCTGCACACCACGATCTTGCAGTCGCCCACATCCGATGCCCTCGGCTACTGGGAGGGACCAATCCAGGTGGATGAAACCCCATGACTGGGATAGCGAAGCTACCCACCAGCTGGTGCAGGAATTTGTCCATCCGTATGACGACGAAAGAAAACACCACGTCACTTTGAAACTCATGAAGAAAGAACATAGTTAAACCGCGAAGAAATCCGGTGCCATCCGCCATGTTTCATGTGTGCTGAGTTCATATAGGACTTCGCGCAGCAAGCAAGTAGGCTTTCGGTCCCCTAGCAAAAACTTTCTCTGCCTCGCAAACCAGCCCGACCATCCCACCAGACAATGTGGGCTGAAGCAGCCAAAATGACGCTACCAGTCATGAAGACATTTGTTGAATGCAGGGCTGGACCGAACATCTGTTCGCACATGATCAAACTACCCATCCACGGTAGTGGCAAAAAACGCTTTCGCTGATGCCAATATTGGGCATGCCACGACCACTTCATCAGTTTGAATGCCGCCAGCAACCGGCAATGATGGTTTGGATTCCGTCCCGCATATGCGGCTTAGGTTGGAAACAGAGCCCAATAAACCTGCAATGTGGGCAACTGGCTACTAAAGCCCCCCTCTGCAACAAGAATTCGCGAGTCATTGGGGGCCCCGCTCAAACAATCGAACGGAAGAAGTCAGGGGATCGTCAAGACGAATTGAGGGCCAAAAGTGCGTCTGAACAAGTGATCGTTGGTCATATTCGGTCATGTACACACGCGTCTTATCTTATCATTCATCAACGGATTCTGTCTCCTCGAGTTCCAACTGGGTGCTGAGAGTGCAGCAAGTGCTTGAGAATCCGTTGCTGGAATCGGCATCAACCAGTGCTCCGAAATCCCTTGTACGAACATGGCGGCCCTAAGGGACATCACTGGAGCCCAACCAATGTTCAAACAGCTTACGGTTTGTCCTCCTTAAACTGGCCACAAAGAAGCAATCCTGAAAACTAGTGTCTAGTATTCCTAGAACTTGTACCCAAGGGATGGTTCATAGACGTTGGACCACAACTGTTGCCTACAAGCGGCCAGGATCAATAAATCCTTGTTTGATTACATGCTTTCTGTCGACTCGAAAGGATCGAACTCACTGGGAGGGAGCCCTGCTCCGACAGGTTTCGTTCCGGGGCCAACATGTGTTTGGCAAATGATTCCACTTGCGTTGACCCAGCAACTGGGTTGCTCCCTCCGCGCCCGGGTTTCGGGTCGATCAACTTGTGTAAGTCTCATAGAAAAGCCCTTTGTTTACCAACAGGTCTCAGTGGGGCCTTTGGGGGCACGCCAAAGAAAATCAATACCTTTTCTTGCCCTTTGAGTGTTCAACGAAATAACATCTGAAAACTACCTCCTTTTGGGGCGATTTGGTCACTCCAGTTCCCCCACCTTTTGTTAACCCCGAATGACTTGAACCTGATGCCCCTTTGACAGGCGAAATCAAACACTGTGCTTTAGTCTACTTTGAGATTCCCCCCTCCAAAAAAAAAGAAAAAGAAAAAATAAACTCACTTCAAACCAACGAGGAAAATATAGGGAACCTCAAGTGACCATCCAGACAAGGTGCAGAAATGCGTCCAGCTCCTTGCCACTGCGCGCCGTGTGCACCTTCAGCCGGCGCTGCCGGGCCTGCCGAAGGCGGTTTCGACTTGGATCACCCCACTTGGTCGCTATTTAAGTGCAGGAATTCTCACTTCAATCGAGTGGGTTAGCCAAACAAACAGTGACCAAACTTTGAATTTGTTGTCCACTAAAATGGTCCAAACCTCCCAAAGTTGAAAGTCCAGGAACTCAGGAAGTGAGCTAACTTCTGATGGGAACCCCAAATGCATAAACCCAGTCCACTAACCATTGTGGGGGTGTCACCCACAAAAGTGCACTCGCAGTTCTGTGTTGCATTGCTCAGTTTGCACATCCATGAAATGGTGAACCCTCGCAAGCTTTGGATGGGTCGGCCCTCAAAAACTCGGTCTTCTGTTGAGTTGTTAACTTTGCTCGCGGAATTGTGCGCGCGGCCCGGTTCTGTGATAGAAAGCCGTCTTCCCTCAAATAAGCCCCATCAAAACCTTGTGCTTCTTATTAAACTTTCGGCTTGCTCGGCTAGGTAATTAGCTAACTAGCTAATTTCACTTGCTAAGCTAATCAGCTAAGTAGCCACAGTATAGTAATAGCAAGCCAAGAACTGGTTAACGAATCCAACTCTTAGCGAGCTCGCTACCCGGCCGACTTCCTACTAAGGTGCGCGTTGTTGCATCGGCAAGAACCATTCACTTGCACTGCGCACGAAGGCTTCTCAACGTATAGCTGATCATTGTTTTGAAGCCAATCCACTTTGAAAGCTCAACGCCTCGAAAAACGTTTGCGCCATGTGCGGGTGGCGCCGAAGGCCAAGTATTGAAGAGACTGTGGAAGCAACAAATCCTGAGTTGGTAGGTGGTTTATTCCATCCATAGGGTTTGTGTTGCCGCCCCAACTGGTGCCAGTGCAATATGTGTGTCTAAAAAAAAAAAAAACAAGAGGTTCATGGCGACCCTAAGCCCAAGCAAAGCGGCGACGTGTTTGGTTGTCTGGGAAGGGTACCTACCCTCTATCTATAGCTATGTATATATATATATATATATATATATTATGGGAATGAATTTCAATGCAGAACCACTTTGCGAGTGGTTGGTGGGCGTGACCCCCCGACCCGATGATGTCTTCCACAGAGTCCCTAATCAAAGTTCACACCCATATGCAGATCATACCAACTGGTCCAATCCATCCCGAACTCTTCCCTGGCTGCGCCAACCGTTCATCCCAATTCAGCTCCCTGCCAAAAGGGGACGCCTTCACAAAGCCGGCCGAGCTTCTTTGGAAGACCCAGCCCATAGTGCAGCACGTGGGGAGAATGCATCCAAGGAATATGTCTATGAGGCCATGAAAATCGAAACTGGTTGGTGGACATCCCACTCTATTTGAGGTTGTCAAAAAATTTGGTTCCCCCCAAAAAATGCTAGACACACCAACCTTTTATCCACCAAAGGGTCCCCAGCCTTTTGAACCAAGGGATCCACCCCATAGTAGACAACTAAATCTTGGCAGATCCCGACTCAGGTGTACCCCTCCCAAAAAGAAAGGTTGAGCTGTGTTTCTCTCTAAACCAGCTAACGCAGAGGCTTTCAGAGAAAACCGAAAGGAAACCAAACAGAATAAAAAAGCTAAGCACGTCTAAGTAGCCTGCCTGTATGTACTCAAACCCGGGCTCCTGCCTTTTTCCTCCTCAAACATCACCCCCATTGAAGGACAAACACTTTGCTCCAAAAAGTGATGTGTAAACCCACCCACAAAGGAGACATGTAGGAAACCCTCGCCAAAAAGGCCGCCTCGCGAGCATCCTGCTTCTGCTGTAGCCATAGGATTTCTCGACCATCCGCTTGACCCCAGGCGGCTAGGGTGTCAAAGACCCTCTCCGTGACCACCAGCCTCAGGTATCAAATGGATGTGGGTCAAAAATGTGTGCCCAGAATGGAACCCTGGTAAATGGAAACAATGACTAAAACCTGTGGTTTTCTGGTGGCTGTATTTTGACCTATACCCAAATGTGCCCCAAAATGGGTTTGTCTCGAAGGAGATCCGCCCAAAGCAGGCGTTTCTAAAAACAAAGAGACCTGATGACCTGACTTGTTGAGCATCAGCTCAGTTCCGATCGAAAGTCAGGCCTTGTCCGCGAAACTGGAGACCCAAAAAGCGACGCAAGTCCAGGAATTGGGGCAGTGAGCTGGGTTGTTCAAATGGCGATCCCCAATCCGAATTCGTAGTTCACGGGGCAAAACTACGACAGTGAAATACGGGTGGAGGATTGACCTTGAACAGAACAGTGGCTAAAGAGCTGAATACATGTGATGAGCACGCAAACCCATCAAATTATTGAACTTTGGGTTCTAGCAACATGTTCATTAAGAGGCTTCGCTACATCCCTAACAAACCAGATGGTAGAACCACCTACTAAAATGGGCCAACTGTCTGGGTAAAATGAAGAAATCTACCAAAGGTGTCAAGATGTTGGTGTCTCTTTTTTTGCGGGACCCGCCAAAATCGTGAGTTTTCCTGGTGGTTTCCCATTACAACCAAGCAAAACGGGTACCCTCAAAAATAGACAGACCCATGTCCCAGTCAAATGGCCGGTTTGAAATTCGCAGAGGCCGCCTTGCTTTATTTTCAATGGGGGGGGAGCATGGGGACCGGTGGACAATTAGAGTCTATCTTGATTTGATTTGCCACCTCGAATCATAAACAATACTGAGCATAAACATATTTTTCTACCCAAAACCATGCAAAGGATCAAAAGGGTGGATGCGAGCAACAATCAATGTTTAATTATTGTGTGCGCCAATGACATTGGAATTTAGTGAATATTGTCCATGTCGATTTAGTGCGTGTACGAAATGTCATCCCCTTTACTACAGTAGACGGCGGTGTCCGTGTTGACAGTTGCTCGTGTCCACACCTGCTTCCGGTTGGCACTGCTCCTTACTCATCTGCATCTACCAAGTGTCAGTTGTACCTCTATCAGTGTGGTTTCGACATGTTTGGCACAAAGGCGGGAAACCCTTCACCAGGAGGGCCTCCAAAATTATGTCTCTGTCTTGCTTGTCCGTCAAGTCAACCCCAAACTGGTACCCTCAAGTTGGTTGGAGGCTGACTTTAGGGTTAAAAAAAGGAAGGGTCCAGTTCAATTTGGGACGGAAAGGGGTCACCTGGCCTCGACTTTCCCGTGAAGGGCATCACTTCGGTCCAGGGAGCACCCGCCTGACCTCCATGCCCATGGTCTGCATCGCCTCCAGCAATGCCAGCCCCACCTGCCAATTCGGTCACATCGGCACGGGCCAGAAGGCGCCCGTGGATGTCCAGTCAGTCACTTGAGTCACTGGATTTCCCCAAATGGGGGGGTCCAAAAATCTTTCTACATGGGGGCCCCTGTTAAATGGAAACAAGGACTAGAACCTGTGGTCCCCTGGTGGTTTAAACGCAAATCATAACTTGATCAATTTACTGGTGGTTTCCATTGAAACGATCGATCCACTTTTGGTGGATACAAAAAGGTAGGAAACCCTAAGAGAAATAGTTGGCCAATTTGTTGCGCTAAATGGGTTCCGAAATCAGATGCGATCCACGCATGCCCCATCTCCGGGTCCCCCGACAGACCACGTTTGCGGCTCCACCCATCCAGAAAACCGAGCAAATCGGGCACAGGGTTCCAAAAATTCAAGCTAAACACATTTATGTACCAGAAAAAGTAGCCAACGAAACAGGGAGATGACAGAAGGAAGTATGTAAGCCATCTCCTTGGTAAGCAGACGAATTCTAGTTTTCCGAGCTACAACCATGGTTTTATCCTGTCCTGTGCACAATGGAGTGCTGCCCAATCCCCAATTAGGTTCGGAAACGACAAAGGGACAGCTTTGGTAAACCAAGGATCTCGGATTGCTTGTACGACCGCCCGGTTCACCTGACCCCAAAAAGGGATTCAGTTTCCCCGTGGTTTCCCTTTCAACCCCAAGCCGGGTACCCAGCCAGTTGAAGCCACCCTACAGGTCCCGTGCCTGCTGCATGCCAGTGTGCTCCGGCATCAGAACTGTAGCTCGTCCGCCGTGCATAGAGAACTGCCTAGGTGACGGACGGGTTCTCAAAAATAGGACATGGACCCCCCAAAGCTTGGTTTCCTTCTTTGGCTTGCCTCGAAAGCCAATCAAAATGAGTTCCCCCCAAAAGAGACACACCCAGCCTCCGACCAAAGGCGCCAGAGGGGGGGCCAATTCCCAAAACGAGAGTCTTCTAGTGGATGCTTGGGTTCCCTGCTAATCTGCCGAGGAGTACCAATATAAACCAAGTGCAGGACTCCTACAAAAAGACCAAGCCCCAAACAAGAGGCCTGTGCCAACGTTTCGTAACGCCGCCCTCTTTCCAAATTTCATGGAAAAGGACAGGGAGCTCAAAGATTATCCTCTTGACAATGCCTTTTGTCCACTTCCATTCTTGGAAAAGGGGCAAGTGACAGTGACCATCTGGACAAATGAACTTGAGGGATTCCTATAATATGGGAACCGGTCTGTGTACTCTCTGGCGGACAAGCATGGCTGCTGTCAAGCCTTTTTGCCTTCCCGACATGTCAAGCGTATGTGGGTATGTGACTTTTTGAGGGTACCTCTTTTTGGTCGGGTTAAAGAGGAAACCAAAAGGAAACAACATAACTTCGGGGCACCAAAATTCGACACATACCCATACGACAATGCTTCACCAAGGGATCCCTGTAGGCGGACCTGCGAGGCCACTTTGTGCTCGACCTCACCCAAAGGATCCGTGAAAGATACATATTTTCCAAGTGGCCAGGATGTGGCCTGATTTCCTCTACTGACCGTGCTGACTACCAAAAAACCACGTCAGTTACGCTTGCTAGTATGACCTTTTGGCAAACTAGTATTCCTCTGCCAGCTAGCAACAAGTTGACATTGCATAGAGAGGTCAAAGACCAATTCAGTTTCACGCTTTGCCATTCCCTGCGTTGATGATGCTTTGTGGCCAGCATTTGCATTGCGCTGGCGTCAAACATATGCTAGGGCGCACTTCGTTCTGCGCTTCTGGGTTGATTGGACAAATCAGCCGGTGTTCAGAAGTAAACATCATGAAGCCGCGTGCTGGAAGCTTCCAAAGGTAAGCTGTTGTACGCCTGGTAAGCTTGGACAAGCGCCAAGTGTCTCTAAGACCGCTTCAGCCGCCTGTCGATGAATTCCCGGCAGCGTTGTGGCGAAGAGTGGCCGATGAGGCACGGCCTCCAAACAGACGTGGGCCAACTACCGGCTGACACACATTTTAAAACTGGCGGGGGGGGTCTCAAAATAGCCGCCTCTAAACAGGTTGGTGTCCATTTGGTTTTCTCAACCGACAAGGCGTGGAAATCACTCTTTCTGTGATACCAATATGGGTCTTTTTCAGACTACTCCATCACTTTGACAGGTCCACTTGCTGTCACAAGAAGTGGCTGCCAAAGAAAACGATTTCCACGACCATGTTGAGGATTCTGTTCACAAAGGCTCCGCGATATGCTCCTTTTTTGGGTAGGTTTTTGCGGGCTCTTGAAAGCATGGCTAAACACCGGCACTGTGAACCCATCCATGTTTTCATGCTCCCCGGGCCATCCAATTCCCCGTGGGCCATTCGAATTCAGTGCCATCCATCCTCATGTAGCTTCCCGCCGTCCGCCTAGACTTAGCACCCCCTGCCAACAAACAAATCACGCGCTCACGAAAGGGAAGCTGAAGGAAGCCCAGAAAGGCCAAGCACAATGCAAGGCTTGGAAGAGAGGTCACAGGCGACCTTTTGGACCAAAATCATGGGTTTCCCTTGTACATGGGGCATAAAAACCAACTGTAAACCAGTGGAAGCCATCTATTTCTAAGCGAACTGACCGATCAAAAGTGCTCAGTAGGGAATGTGGGAATGAACCCAGGGATTCCCTTAAAGGAAACCCGCCAGCTGGATGGTTTAGAAAGGGTCCTTCCCTTATTCCCTGCTGAGAACCAGCAAGCGAACTCTTTCCCTGCCTCCGCATCTCGCTCCGCCGTTTTCCCGGCCGAGCTTGTCAGCAGAGCGCGCGCCAAAGGCAGTGGCACCACCTCCTCCGGCAAATTCCGCCACGCCTCTTCAGCCTGCGCGCGCTAAAACTATTGGCCTCTTGTTTGACCCCCCCCCCCCTCGTGGACGGCCAAGCCAGACAAACCCAACCGAACCAACCGAACCCAACCGAACCCAACCACAAACAACCAGAACCGCCAAGACGGACCCCAAGTCCCGCCTCGTGCATCTGCGCCACTGCCCTCTGAAGCTCCCTGGACCCCAGGCGCCGCCACTCCTCGCCCCCGTCCAGGTCGGAACTCCTTCCGAACAAAATAACAAGAAAGCACGCGGAGAGGTAATCGTCACATGCGGGGGTGTGTCACATACCCCTTTTTGTTCGGGGAGGGGAACCACCAAAAGAGCGGCTTTCCTGGTGGTTTCCTTTGAGGGTCGGAAGAGTCTTTCTTGAGGGAACTCCATATTTTTGCGGTTTTGAAAAGGAAACCAACAGAACAACCACCGTTTTTAGGGGCCCTCTTTTTTAGGGGACCCACACAAATTGTGGTTGTCCTTTTGGTTTCCCGTTTAAACTGTCCTTTTGGTTTCCCGTTTAAACCACCATTTTTGGGTACCCTGAAGAAAACGACTCCCATGTAAAGCTTGGAAGGAAAATCCTGGTTGCCCTGAGGGCCGAAGACCAACAGAGGAGGCCGAAGGACCGAACAGGAGGTGCCCTCACGAAAAGGCATCCAAGGAAATCCGTGGGGATTCCAAAAAAAATGCGTTGCTGCTTCTCGAGTTTGTAGGTCATGTCAATCACAACTTGGGGTGGTTTTGAGTTCCAAATGTTTCTTAGATGTTTAGATGTTGCGGACCGTGACATTAGATCTTTAGATGATTGAACACCACCCTGTCTAATACGTTATTTGTGTCAGTGCCTCTTCTTCCCTTCAAGCTGTAAAGAGTTGAAAGTTGAAAGTTCTTTCTTTGACATTGGACCACTACATCCATCGCTTAGATATTTCTTAGTGGGTTGCGCGATTCGGATGTTCAAGTGGCCATTTGTTCAGCCTTTTCAAGAGGACTGCAACCTTCACTCTGTCAACTTTGTTGTAAGGGTCAAACCCATCCGCCGGTGGTCATAGGCATAGGAGGTCTAGGGGTACATGCTTGGGTAACTTGGACCAGAAAAAAAAGGGGGGGAAAAAAAGGGGGGGAAAAAAAAAAACAGAAAAAAAACAGGGGCACACGGAAAGTCATCTTTTCTGCCTCTGTTCCATATTTGCCCGAACAAGAATCAAATATTGTGTTTGGAGGGCCCAGAGCCCTTGCACCACGGGATCCACAACGGTCCCAAAACCTCTGTTGATTCCCTACCCATCGAGCAGCTGGGAATTGGGATCCCAATCCTCACAATGGGACACCTCTGGCTTCTTCCATGGCTGTCTGTCTTTTTTCTTGTTCTTTTTTTTTTTCCGGGCCGCCCGTTTTGTTGGTCATTGTGGGGATAATGTTGAAACAAACCCCATATGAGTCACAATCAAAACCCGGTATCACAATGGTCTACCCAGAGCCATGTAAAGAATTAAGAAGGCGGCCGCAGCTATTTATGGTTGGGAGTATCCCTTACCAACATTCATCAACCCGGGATTTGATTGTGGCTCATATTGGCGGCATGCCGCTCCTTTTCGCTCCTGGGAAACGCCTCGAGGAGTTGCCGCTCCGCAGACCGCCAGTCCGGCACGCACGCCTCGCCTCACGCAGACGGAATCAGAGCTCTGACAGTCGTGGATGAAACCCAGTGACTGGCCCCTGCAAATTCAACAAACCGCTTTTTGAACGGCAGTTGAAGGAAGCGTCAAATGAACATTTGCTTTTTTTTGTTGGTTGGTTGGAATTCGGAACGACTCACGCAGAAAGATGTGCCAAAGGGCATGCGAGAACAATGCTCATGATGCTGGCTGAATTTTCTGGGTCGCTAGATTATTCACATTGAGAAACAGCATGCAAACAAATACAAAAGAACCTATCTGAAAAACAGGCCTTGCTTCATGGATCCCAGGGTCAACCCAATCTCTTCACCCATCCTTCTTGTCCCGCACCACGGGTGTTCGACCCAGTTGGGGAGTGGGAACTTAGATGGGTGGCAACCTTAACTACTAGCCACTTGGCTGAGCGAATTTCAAGCTTTTGCGGGGCAGGTGTCAAGTGACAGCTTGAAGCTAAACCTGATCTCGCTTGACTCCCAATTGCATTCTAAGTAGGTGAACACATGCACGGTTGCTACAGGGATAACTGTGTGAAACCAAAACCTCCGTGAGGTCGCCATACATGGCGTACACTGTAGCGGCTTGGGGGTGGAAACCATCTATCATCCAGCTTTGATACGTGAGCCGTGGTCAGAGTATGCGGTCCCATGAAGGACCTGGCAAAATCGGATTTTCCCGGGCTTCTTGGCAGATTTTTAGCCCCCAACATGGATGATAGACTATCTCGTATCTTAACCGAACCTATGAACTGGGTCATGGTCATCGTCTCTCTCGAATGTCGCGTCAAAACACATTTGGGCGTCAATGAGCACTTGCGTGTGTCATTGCACGTCTTCGTAATTTCCACAAGTCACCAACCAAAACGAGGAATTGCGAGGTGGGGGGAGCCTAAATGGCCTAGTGCCAGTCGAGGTGCAAACCACCTCCGGCCTAAAGGGCTGCGCGGTGACGTAGGCATGCAGGCGCTGATGTAGATCCTATGCACAGGTCCCAAAGTTTCAGGCGCCTTGAACACACCGAACACATCCAGCCGCCAAAGAGTTGCATGTCAACCCCTTCTTTTGGGCTAGCAGCAAGCAGTGCAATCAGTTGAGAAGGCATCCTAGACTGGTGATTCAGGAATGCTGGGGATGCCGGGGAAGTTGGGGAGGATGGTGGACCCATGGTGGATGCTGGCCGCTCTCGGGGGTGATTTGCGCGGTACTGTGTTATTTGAAGGAAAGTCAGGCATGGGTCCAAATGTCTTGGCTGTCCTGCAGGGAATGCTGAGGAAAGTAGTACCGGCATCGATAGGACACCGAACGGTCGTTGCCAAATCGTCGTGGCCCCATGCCGGGTGAAGCCCTCGAGCGCTTGGGTTTGTGGTTTATGCTCTGGGTTGCTAGTTCCTTTCTGCCAAGCGGGCGTCTCTTGCTTGAAGCTCGGTGCTCTTTTTAGGGTTGCTTCAAATTGAAGCCCAAGGTAAACCGCCAATTTTGAGGGTTTCATATTATTCCATTTGGAGAAACTAGGCCTAGGATGTCTCTGAATATTGCCATCCCCCAACAGATTTGGAAGTGCAAAGAGCCGCTTGCCAAAAGGAAAGGTGTTCGCCTTCCAACAGACATGTCTGTGAGTCAACACCTTGTCGAGGGTGTCCCATATCTCCGCTCTCTTTGCTTAGCTCCATTGGCGAAGAGACAACAAACATCATCGACACGCGATCCCAAGGCCAGATGCCATCTGGAAATAGGATGTCTATCAATATTACCGCCGAGAAGATGCTGCTCCCCCCCCCTCCCCCGGCACCAACACAAAATCCAGCTACGCTGTGTGGCTTCGAGCTCGAAGAGCGAGGGCAACCGTACCCATAGGGTGTACCGCTGACGTGTTTTGCCTGCATCACCTGCACGCAGGCCAGCCCAAACACTTGGACCCCAAAACATCCCCGGCCTCCCTGGCCTTGCGACGGGCTTCTGATGCCACGTTGCCCGACCTTCAACAAACACTGTAAATATTGTGCAAATCGCCCGGACAGTCGCCAGCACTCCCGCCAACATCCTCTGCATCCTCGCAAACTTCGCCAGCATCCTCGGCATTCCATGCATCACCAGCATCTGGGCGTTCCAGCATCCCTCACATTGCCTGCATCCCCTGCATCGCAAAATGGCCCCCTAAGAGTAGGTTTTGGCGGTAGGCGGACATGGCGGGCAAGTATGCGATCGAGTGAGCGGTTTTTCTTGTGCAAGTGCGGCCGCCGCCGCTGTGCGGAAAACATCGCGCATACCGTGTTTTCTGCGTTTTTCCACGGGCTGGGACGGGCTGCCGGGGATGCATTTTGTTGGTCTGATTGGCTTTCAGTGTGAGACACGTGCGGCGCGCCGGACGCAAGCAGGCACAAATGCGCTCAAGCTAGGGTGGGTGAGTGCATGCTCCGTGTCAGGGGGGTTGGGCAAGTAACCTTGTAGCCTCTTACGCGTGTGGGTTCGCAGCGAGCGCGTGCTTGGGTGGTCCGGGGGCCAGGCTCTGAAACAAGGTCCCGCCTAAACAGAGTTCTTCTTAGTGCTACCCATGTCACCTGTCCGCCCGGAACCCCTAGGATACAGTCCCCCCCCCCCCCCGCCCACCCCGCTCCTCCAAAACAGGAAAACAGCTTTAGCAGTCATTTCGGACACCTGCGCCTTTTGCCCCTCCACGTCCCTCCCCCGCCTTGGTGCCGCCAATCTTGAAGTACCGGCTTCGGCCCACCTCCATCCCGTCAGAGTACCGCAGGCACAGCAAGTAGATGAAGCCTCTTTCGGGGGAAGCCCCGCGGGCGGGAGAAGGAAACCCCGCGCCTTTGCGCCTGCCCTGACAGTGTTTGTGAGTGTTTCTGATGAAGTAAGCCGACTAGCTTCTTGCGTGTGTGTTTGTGGTGGGCTTGTTGTGCGTGTGCTTGTTGTGTGTGTGTGGGTGGGTGTGGGTGTGTGTGTGTGTGTTTTGTCTGTTTGCTGCGTAGTTATTGTGGTGTTTGTATGTTTGTTGTGCTTGTTTGTTATCTGTGTGTGTGTTGTGTGTGTGTGTTGTGTGTGTGTGTGTGTGCTGTGTGTGTGTGTGTGGTGTGGTTGTTGTGTGTTTGCTGTGTGTTTACTGTGTGATGTTGTTTGGTGTGTGGTTGTTGTGTGTTTGTTGTGTGGTTGTTGTGTGTTTGTTGTGTTTAGTGTGTGTTTGTTGTGTGTGTGGTGTGTGTTTGGTGTGTGTGTGTTTGGTGTGTGTTTGGTGTGTGTTTGGTGTGTGTGTGTGTGTTTGGTGTGTGTGCGTCTGTGCGTGTGTGCGTGTGTGCGCGTGTGTGCGTGTGTGCGTGGGTGCGTGGGTGCGTGGGTGCGTGGGTGCGTGGGTGCGTGGGTGCGTGCGTGCGTGCGTGCGTGGGTGGGTGGGTGCGTGGGTGGGTGGGTGTGTGTGTGTGTGTGTGTGTCTGTGTCTGTGTCTGTGTCTGTGTGTGTGTGTTCGGGGCGCATTTATTGTGTCTGTGTGTATATGTGTGTGTGTGTTGTGTGTGTGTGTGCGTTGTGTGGTTGTTGTGTGTTTGTTGTGCGCTTGCTGTGTGTTTAGTGTGTGTATGTTGTGTTTGGCGTGTTTTGGGTGTGTTTGGTGTGCGTGTGTCCGTGTGTGTGTGGTTTGTGTTTGTGTTTGTGTTTGTGTTTGTGTTTGTGTTTGTGTTTGTGTTTGTGTTTGTGTGTGTGCGTGTGCGTGTGCGTGTGCGTGTGCGTGTGCGTGTGCGTGTGCGTGTGCGTGTGCGTGTGCGTGTGCGTGTGCGTGTGCGTGTGCGTGTGCGTGTGCGTGTGCGTGCGTGTGCGTGTGCGTGTGTGGCGTGTGTGTGTGTGCGCATGCGCGTGCGTGTGCGCGTGTGCGTGTGCGCGTGTGCGTGTGCGTGTGCGTGTGCGCGTGTTGCGCGCGTGCGTGCGCGCGTGCGCGCGTGCGTGCGCGCGTGCGTGCGTGCGTGCGTGCGTGCGTGCGTGGGTGTGTGTGTGTGTGTGTGTGTGTGTGTGTGTGTGTGTGTGTGTGTGTGTGTGTGTGTGTGTGTGTGTGTGTGTGTGTGTGTGTGTGTGTGTGTGTGTGTGTGTGTGTGTGTGTGTGTGTGTGTGTGTGTGTGTGTGTGAACCGTCCTGGAGCACGGACGCAAAACTTTAAGCAGCAGGGGGACTGGAGCCGATTTGCCTATCCAGTCCAATGAAGCTACGGCATTTCGGTGGATACCGGATCTGATCAATCCGGCGTACCTGCCTATTTCCTGACCCTCTTTCCTGATTCCTTTTGCGGTTTCTGTTTGTCGCTGTTGCTTCCTGTTCGGTGTCGATGTTGTGACCTGTTGATTTGCATTTGCATTCAAGCATTTTTACTGACTGCGTTTTTCATCTCGGCTAGTGAAGCCTCTCGAGATAAGTGTGTGTGTGTGCCCCCCCTGTTTCTAAGGGGTTTCCGCTGTCCTTTTGTACTTGGAGTCGGACGCCACCTCCCTGCATGATCAGGCGTGTAGTAGTCAAGCAGGTGATGGCGTCCCTGAAGAGGAAGCCTGCTTGACGAACAACGTCCTGACTTGCTCGGAGCCGAAACTCCACTTTTCACCTTTCAGCTGCTTGGGGGTGCACCTTGGCAGTTTCGCCGTCTCATATCAAGTGTGTTTAGGCACTGCGTCCGGGCTTCGGTCAGTGTCTTGATCCCCGTTGTGGGCATCTGTTCCGACTCATGCAATGACAATTTCTACAGACAGTGTCGCTCGTGACGCTTGACTGTTCCAGCTGACCTTCTCAATACAGGCTTGGACTTCTCCCAGACAATCCGGCACCCCAGACTGTTTCCGTGGACCCTTTTTCAGTCAGACAAACTGTTTGACTACCCACCAGACCACCCGACACATCAGGCAAGAACTCATGACGCCGTCAGCTTGCTCTTGGCTCGCAATTGTCGGCAACAGATGCCACGCCCCAACGCAGGTCCGATGTCGAATTCAGCAGGCCCTATGTTGAAGGCCACCAATCACACAGCGGGTCCTACGCCACCCAGGTCACCAGTGAGCCGGACAGCATCACCGAGCAGGAGTACACTTGTGGCACCGACCTTCAGCACTACTGGTCCGGCATCCCGATGGCCACAAACCCTTCGGCTCCATCCCCTGCTCCTCGGTGCGTATTACAGCTTCTCCCACCCGGCCTGGATCGGCTGTTGGCCTACTACCACAAATCCTGGTGAAGGCGCCCCAACTACCCCAACGGCTCCAGCTACAGCATGTCCGACTCCGGCTACCGCACCGACCTCTACGGCAATCCTGCAGACTCCCACGGTCTCTCAGCAAGCGGCGGTATCAGGTCCTACAGCTCCGCAGCCAGTTACAACGCCCTCGGACCCGCAGTCCGATGTATACATTGGCAGTACTAGCATCACTTATCCCAGCCGAGAGCACAATCGTCGAGCCAAGCTGCTGGGTATTCAACATGGGCAATTCATTAATGCTGAACCAGCACTCAGATGGTGGCATCACTTCGGCAACTATGATGAGTTTGCCACCTGGGTCATCCTGACCGACCCGGTCACCTGGACTCAAGAGCATGCCCTGATCAGCATTTATCAGCCGTCCCTCAATTGGCCCTATATTCATCGGCGATACAAGCGCATCTCCGCCGGATACACAGCTACCAGGTTTCTTGCTGAACAACCCTGGTCCAGATTTGGCAAACGCCTCTTCCTTCGGCTCCGAAGAAGGAGCTGCACAGTCTATGGCCGAAATTTTCATCGAGTGGCACTAAAACACAATCATGCGTGGTCCATCATTGCCCGCCTCACCTCGGAGCACATTGAATCCTGGGAAGAAGAAAAACGACTTCGCAGCGGACAACACTCGGACCTGGACATCTACGCCATCTACAGATTGTCCGGCAATGTAGAACAGCCTCATCGACATCGAGTTCGCAACATTCTTCGTCGAGTTCTTGATTTTCGACAACTACAGCAACCCAAGCTCAACATGCTCTTACGATTACCGTGGCTGTCTCATCCAGATTATCAACGGACCACCAGAGAAGTCCTTCGTCGTCTCGTCATTGACCACCGCAACTGGGCCCTTCCCTTCCACTTGCCGAGCACGAAGCTCGCTGAGACTCCTCACCCCCGAGTCCACACAGTCATGTGGAACTACTCGCCATTTCAAGACTGCTATCCCTTGACGTCTTCCGGGCCATCATCGTGCCAATGCGACAGCTGGCTCAAAAGTCAGCCCTGGCTATCCCATGTTCAAGGTCATGTGGCAGCAGGATTAGATGAGTTCCGGTTTCCTGGTACGCCCCATCACGTTCACTACACCTCAGCGCTGGCGTCGTACTATGTGGGCTTCGCGGTCTACGAAGTGCAAGTTCACGAACGCCTACGGAAATGGTGCTTGCATCACGGACTCCCGCTGGACCTTTCATGGAGCACCTTCGCAGCCAATTCCAGCAGCATCGGAAACATGCACGCACTCACCAGCTCCTTACCAAGCATCAGCTCAACATCCTTCATCGACACCTTGGTCAAGACTTTGTGTGCCACAACGAGGATCATGACAACCACCACCTCATGTTCTTCTGTCCTCAACTCTACTTCAAGGGCCTCCACAATACCTGGCTTCAGTCCAGCACCTTCGAAGCCACTACACTGAGGCCAGATCAAGCAGAGGCCATTATTCTTGAGGCAATTCCGAAGCACCTGCGGCAGAGGTACAAATGGGCATACCGGAAGAAGGCGACCTCCGTCCCGGTTGGAAAAGCCTTTCTCAAACGGAAAAAGCAGTGGAAGTCGGGTCGCACCATTATAGCATACCACAAGGTGGTGCACCGGCTACTTTTCAAAGCAGTCGCCATCCTTCTCGGCGAGCTTGCCGTTGACACATGGAAAAGCTCATGGGGTATACACCCCACTCCACGAATATGGCAGAACATCAAGCAATACTTTGACAACACAGACGACACGGTAACCCTGGCCTTCCACAATGACGACTTAGTAGGCTTCTTCAACAGTGTTCCTCAAGACCAGCGGTTGCGCAACTACTCGCCGAGCACCAACGAGACCGGCCCAGTTCCATGTACTCAGTGGAAACGCATGCAACTGCCCACCACAATCGGGTGTTTGCGGGCAAGCAATCCTACGGACGCACACCGACCACGCGCATCATCCACATGGAGGACATCATGACCATCGTCAAGTCCAGCTTCCAAGGCATGTATGTTCAAGTGGGGACCCTCATCATGCGCAAGTCCATGGTACAGCAATTGGCTCCCTGCTCAGCCCGGTACTCAGCCACATATGCGTAGCAAGGCACGAAGTCATCTGGCAACGTATCTATGGACAATGGTACACCAGTCACAACGTCTTCTTGGAAAGGTATGTGGACAACCGGTTTGTCATCTTCCCTTCTCCATCCTCAGGTCACCCGGCGCCCCCACTGGAGGCACTGCTCCAGGCTGACTTCTACGGTGCCCCCATCGTGTTGGAACAAGTGGGGTCTTCAGAGTTCCTCGGCTTCGTCATCGATGTTGGCGACAGGTCCATTTACTACAAAAACCCTGCAAAAATCTGGCAGATAAGAGGACCACGCACTGCTGGAAGCCTCTCCATCCTCCTATCAGGAGCTCGGTCACGGTCGGCCCTTGCCACCAAGTACGCGTATCCGGCCAGGGCAGTACAGATGGCACTGGATCAACTTCGCAGCATCTATTTGTCCGCAGGCTACAAGTCAGTTGACCTGCAACATCTGTTTCACCTACCGGCGACTCCAATACGAAAGAGCCCTCAAGCGCCTGCCTTTTTGGTTTTTTGCTCTCATGTGTCCGCGTTTGTTTTTCTTGTTTCTTTTTTCTTTTTTCTTGTTTCTTGATGTCTGTGTTGAACCTTGTGCTCAAACACTGGTTCAAACAGTACTGCACGTCCTGCGGACCTCCGCGAGCTGTCGCCATGCTCGGCCGCATGATAGCGCTTCATCACCGCATGTCTCAGAACGCTGGTGACATGATGCAGCTCATTCAGGAGACCTTGAACCAAGCTGACGAGGCACACAGTCGCAGGCACCGCGACGGGCAAGGTCACTGGCAGCAACATGTCCACGGCCGATCGCTGGCCGAGCCATCACGGCTACACGCACCTGCTCCTGTTGGAACCGATGAGGTAACCCCACCTGGCCCGCCGATGTCGACTCGAGTCAACCCAGCATCCCCGACCGACCATCCACCACCTGCCGGATTCCAATCAGCTCAGTCACACGCAGACCACAGGAGGAATGTGGCGGTCAACCCCAAGTCGCTGTCCTATTGCATCATCACGGCGGACACCAACGACCCTACAGATCTGCGCTCGAAGAGCCCCATGGTGCACGATTACGTTGGTCAGCCGGGTTTCAAGAAGGCCAATGTTCCTCGCTCTATCATGGACAAGGGTGAGGCCGATAGACGCAGAGCCAAGCGAAAGCGAGGCCGCACTACATCCTCCGAGAAGACGGACTCGCAGGAGCCTCCAGCACGTCCAGCACCTCGTACTCCAGCTCCAGCTCCGGTCTCTCCCGGTCCTGGCCTGGTATCCTCTCCTGAATCTGTTCCTGAACCTCCGGCTCTCATCCCGATGCCGGCAACCCTGGAACTCCCCCTGAAGCACCTCGTGCCTGGACAGAGGAAGATGACCAGCAGCTTTGCAGCCTGAAAGCGGACAACCGGTCCAGGAAGAGCTTGGAACGCCTCAGGAAACAGCATCAGAAGACTACCTGAACGTGTCCAACACAATTTGTCCTGTCGTCTCCGGTGATACAGTTGCAGCTCTACCACGGACTCGGGGCATCGACTTTTTGAACTTCAGATGGAAGCAATGCGTCCCCTCGGCCACAAACAAAAAAAAGTCCGCAAACAGTCGCCGCCGGTGTGGGTCTTGGCATGGTTTTGGTTTTCTGTTTTGCTTCTGTCTCTGGGGGCCCCTGGAGTCTGGGTTCCTGTTTGGCCCTTGTTTAAGAAACTCGGCTTATTAATACTGTGGGATACATGCGCGTCCCTGTGCCTCCACCAGAGACCAGCAGCCATTTCAATTGCCCAGCTCGCATCCAGTCATCGCCTCCGTGATGTTCGGTTTCGTCCGTCACGCACAAACGTGGGTGGAGTACAGGCGCGACTACGAGAGCAATGAGGAGTTTGTCACCTCACCCGGAGCCCCATCCTGCACCTGGGTCAGGTCAACATCAAGGGAATCAAGGAAGCCAATCAGCGCTTCAGGCGAATCCCCAGCACCAAGCTCCTCTTCTCCCGGGCAGTGATGGTCATCGTCAGCCGTATCAGCTTGGTACACCGGGTACGGCTTCATCAACAACGGCACCAGCACGTCAGGCATCAGCCACTACGCCGGCACCATCTTCGATGAACCAGCTCCAGCCATCAGTACAAAACCCGGCACCCAATTCGGCGGCCCTCTCGGCCACTTTCCCAGGATCTGCAGCAGCAGCTACTGCGACCCACCCATCTTCGGCATCAGCACCTTCGGCCCCGGCACCCTGGAGACTCGGACGTCAACGATCATCATTCAAGGCCGTATGGATCTCCCTCCAGTGAGTCTAACTGAGTCCAATTGATTACGCAATGGACGAATCCCCGCACCTCAGGGCCGGCAGTCTTCCAGACGCACAGGCAGGAATTAAAAAAGTGAACAAATCTCCCATCGAGCATCATGATGGAGGCGGCCTTTCGGTTTCCAGTGTTTCCCCCCTGCGGGGTGTGTGTGTGTGTGGCCCCCCTGTTTCTAAGGGGTTTCCGCTGTCCTTTTGTACTTGGAGTCGGACGCCACCTCCCTGCATGATCAGGCGTGTAGTAGTCAAGCAGGTGATGGCGTCCCTGAAGAGGAAGCCTGCTTGACGAACAATGTCCTGACTTGCTCGGAGCCGAAACTCCACTTTTCACCTTTCAGCTGCTTGGGGGTGCACCTTGGCAGTTTCGCCGTCTCATATCAAGTGTGTGTGTGTGTGTGATTTGTGTGTGTGTGTGATTGATGTGTGTGATTGATGTGTGTGTGTGTGTGTGTGTGTGATGTGTGTGTGTGATGTGTGATGATGATGTGTGTGATTGATGTGTGTGATTGATGTGTGTGATTGATGTGTGTGATTGATGTGTGTGATTGATGTGTGTGATTGATGTGTGTGATTGATGTGTGTGATTGATGTGTGTGATTGATGTGTGTGATTGATGTGTGTGATTGATGTGTGTGATTGATGTGTGTGATTGATGTGTGTGATTGATGTGTGTGATTGATGTGTGTGATTGATGTGTGTGATTGATGTGTGTGATTGATGTGTGTTGATTGTGTGATTGATGTGTGTGATTGATGTGTGTGATTGATGTGTGTGATTGATGTGTGTGATGTGTGTGATTGATGTGTGTGATTGATGTATGTGATTGATGTGTGTGATTGATGTGTGTGATTGATGTGTGTGATTGATGTGTGTGATTGATGTGTGTGATTGATGTGTGTGATTGATGTGTGTGTGATTGATGTGTGATTGATGTGTGTGATTGATGTGTGTGATTGATGTGTGTGTGTGTGTGTGATGTGTGTGTGTGTGTGTTTGATGTGTGTGTTTGATGTGTGTGTGTGTGTGGTGTGTGTGTGTGTGTGTGTGTGTGTGTGTGTGTGTGTGTGTGTGTGTGTGTGTGTGTGTGTGTGTGTGTGTGTGTGTGTGTGTGTGTGTGTGTGTGTGTGTGTGTGTGTGTGTGTGTGTGTGTGTGTGTGTGTGTGTGTGTGTGTGTGTGTGTGTGTGTGTGTGTGTGTGTGTGTGTGTGTGTGTGTGTGTGTGTGTGTGTGTGTGTGTGTGTGTGTGTGTGTGTGTGTGTGTGTGTGTGTGTGTGTGTGTTTGTGTGTGTTGTGTTTGTGTTTGTGTTTGTGTTTGTGTTTGTGTTTGTGTTTGTGTTTGTGTTTGTGTTTGTGTTTGTGTTTGTGTTTGTGTTTGTGTTTGTGTTTGTGTTTGTGTTTGTGTTTGTGTTTGTGTTTGTGTTTGTGTTTGTGTGTGTGTGTTGTGTTTGTGTTTGTGTTTGTCTTGTGTGGTCTTGGCTTCTGTTGTGTTTGCTCGTTTGTTCGCTTGCTTGCTTGCTTGTTTGCTTGTTGTGATTGGCTGCTTGCATCGTTCTTGGCGTGCGTACAGCTTATGTGTTTCTATTGTCGTTGTTTTATACGTTTCTATTTGTGTATCATACCCTTATTGTTGTCTGATGTCATCTTTATGAATTGTCCTGCCTTTTATGTATGTGCTCTCTTGCTTTGTTTTGTTGGTACGTTATTACTTAGCTATGTTCTTGTTTCTTGCCTTCGTTACTTGATTAGCTTACCTTATCTATGATGCTAGTTCTCTACTTCATCGTGTCCTTCTGCATATTATGTTTATCAATTTGTTTGATGTGTCTCATGTTGTTCATGTTATTATTCGTAGTGTGCTGTTGGTATCTCATGTTGCTTTTCTGATGTGTTGTCCTACTTCGCTATTAATTTGTGCCTTTCTTTTCATGTCTTCCTTCTGGGACGCAGCCTGGCCATTCAAAGCTCCGTGGCATGCGCCACCGATCTGCGTGCTAGCTGTACCGGCTGGGTACGCCAAGTGATTGTCACTATGTGTCTCGGTTTTGGAAGCCCGTTTTGCTTGGCTTTAGGAAACCAAAAGGAAACGTTCCACTTTGAGGGTCCGCTAATGAAACCTGTCAAGTTGGCCTTGGCCTGAGCGACCCCCTCTGGCTTTCCCAAAATAAAACCAGCTGGGAAAGCCCCACAAAATCGAAACATCAGGGGCCGATGTTTCAACCAACAGCCAAACTCATGTTCTGTGTTTCCAACACTGGAGCGGGGGGGACTCGCAATGTTTTGCCAGAGACTAAGTCCTCCGGGTGGCAGCGGGTGCTTCCCCCGAATACGGCGTCAAACAGCTCCCAAAGGTCCGCGCCTCTGTTGCAGAGTGTCTGAATTCCGCCGCGCGCCACGACCTGCTCAGTGCCGAGATGGAATTCCTAGAACGCTCCCCCCTCGTCCAGGAAGTGTACTCGCTCCCAAAGACCAAGGCCAAATAAGGCCGTATGCGGATTGAGGGTCATTTGGGGGGGTTGGGTCTGGACAAATAGAGCCAAACTTCTTTGGACTCAGCACTGGGCATTCTGGAGAGAACCTCGCCGGCAGCAATTCATCCATTCTTCCTGATTGGAAAGGGACCCCAAAATACACCAAAAGTCAAATCTTTTTCTGTTTGATATTTCGTCAACCTCAACATCATGCTGGGAGGAACCAAGAAATCAAAAGACACCAGGGACATGCCAAGAACTGCCCAATTCGAGTCAAACATCAGACATATATACGAAAACCAGGATGCAACACCTCTCACTTCCGGCTCGCAAAAAAAAGGAGACCCCCCTGCCAACACCTACCTGCTGCCCCAAAAACTGTTGAATTTGATCGATGTTCAGGAAAATGATCGTGTTGCCTTCTTGGTGTTGAAATTTCAACACTGGTGCTACAACAACCGTTCGGCCTTGCGGAGCAGACCGAACCTTATGTTGCTGATGTCGCTTGCTGGGAATCCATCGATTACGTTATTTTTGCATAATCCGTTGCATGTTTACGTTCTTTTTGCGTCATGACATGGGCCGTGCCTAGGATTTGGTGTTGGAAATACCGTTCGTAAAGCGTTCAAAACCCGTTCGCAAACCGTTCGCGAACCGTTCGCATGTCGTACATTTTACGTAAAACTAAAATGTGTGTTGCGAAATCACCTTGGTGTTCTAAAAGCCGTTCTGGTGCTAAAAAACCCGATCTGGTGCTCAAATTTTCGGAAAAACATCATTTTTCCAAGTGGTGCTGAAAAAGAACATTTTAGGGGCCTCAGGTATGTTTCGCCCCCAAACAAATTGCAGACCCAAAGACTTTGACATGCTTGCTCAACATTCCGTTCGGCCGCCAAATGACCATGGCTAACTCTATTTTACCCAGTTTGCTGGGGGAAATCTCATTGGCTAATCCCATTTACTTGGGGAAATACCCTGGATGGACGAATTCCTGCACCACCTAAGACACCCTGGAATGATGATTGCCCTGTAAATACCAACAAACAATGATTTCCCATAGTTTCTCAGGTGGTGCAGGATTTTGTCCATCCACAGTATCATCATTTGTGTGTTTTTGTTTTGCCCCAGGTCTCACCCCGTCCATCGGACCATCGGACCATCGCCTCGGCGCCGGCGCGGCGCCAGGTCTCCACGCCCCTCACCCAGCGCTTCCCCAGCGCCTGCCCGGCCGGCAGCTGGGGGGGGGGCGGCTGGCCGGCCGCTGGCCATGGTGAAATGGACCCCGGAGTCTCCAATTGGGTATGGGTCAAAATTGAACCAGGGGACCTCAGGTTTTAGTCTTTGTTTGCATTTACCAGGGCGACCAATTTTGGGTACCGATTTTTGACCCACACCCAATTGGGGTTTGGAGGTTGGACCTTGGAAATCCCAGGGTCGGTTGGTTCAAACGCGGGGTCCAAGTTGATCCCAAAGACTCTTCGGCGATCCTGCGATGTGTTGCCGTTGGTTCCACCCCTGTTGTCGATGTTCCTGCAATCCGATCCGAAGCAAGGGGTTGAACCTCACAAATCAACTGGCTCCACACCGTGCCCCTTCGCCGAAGAAAATATGTTGTGAGCATTCGGCGTTTTGGAGCTGGTAGGGAATTCGGGAACAGATTCCTATCCGCAAGTTTATCAGGTACCAAGGGAGCCTCTAAAAAAGAGCCTTCCAAATGTCAGCTTGATTGGGATTTGAATGACGTGAGGGAAAAAACTCTGAAGCCGCAAGCTTCTGTCAGGGCCGCCAGTTCTTGGTAGATGGCAGAAGGAAAAAAACCTTTGGCAAGCAAAAAAGGCACCAAGATGAGGGAATCCTGTTCTCTACTGTCAGCCAATGTAGTTGGCATTCATTGGGCTACAAAACCTACTAACCCTTGAGGGGGATAACACTTTATACAGCAAACACTTCGGCGGCAGTTGCTTTTGGCGGGCCTACTTGCCGGTTCTCAGATTTCAGGCAGAACCTTCCAACTGGTCGACTGGAGGGTGAACAACAAAGTTCCCTAAGATCCCTTAGCTGGTTCTCCAAAAAGTAGCTTTCAAAGTTTACGCGGGGTCAGTCAGATTTCCTGATACTGTTCTACAAAAACCAGCAAGTGATAGATGTTCCGGAAATTTGAGCAGGGTTTGGCGTACATGCGGCTCTGGCACATCAGAAAACGCAATCCAGCACCTTGCAAGGGGCAAATTGCTCCGGGGGAAATCAAGATCAAGGCCAGTTAGGGTGCCGTTTCACAGCCCAATGGATGATCCCCGTTTGGTTCCTTCCAAAACCTATCAAACGACTCCCCCCGGAGAACCCGCCAGAAAATGCAGCGGTCTTTTTCGTTCAAGAGTCCTGGCACAAGACCCAGAGAGGGAGAACACATGAGTGGAGCTCAGTGGGACAAAAGGGGCGCCTTTTCATTTGGGTGTGGTCGAAAAGAGGTACCCAAACTTAATCCACAAGGACAAAAACCTGCTGTCCCCTGCTGGTTTAATGTCACCTATACCGATTTCTTGCTTTTTGTTTGATGGGAAATCCTTCCAAAACCACTTGGCCGGGAGCTGACCCGGCCCAAAAAATGCCAACAAGTTGAATTCTGGCACACTCAATCCTTTCGAGCCATAGCAAACAGGCAGAAACGGGTCCAGGAGGTTCCGCGAGAATGATGATGCGACTGGTTGTTCATACAAAATCCGTTCCAGGCTGATGGTCCGAGGAACCCTTATGGCTGAGTCCACTCGCTCCAACCCCAACGGGTTTCACCATTTGAACCTGGCATGGAGCTACCCCGCCCCTTTTGGCGCCTCATCCAACAGCACGAGACTTGGCCCACCCAGCAGCGCCAATAGCGCCAGTAGCGCGGGGCCCCGCCGCATGGCGAATTGGGGCACACGCTGCGCCCATGGCATGCAAAGCGTTCTATCTCTTAAGTTCCAGGCGCTGCGCCGGATTTTGGCTGGATTTGAATCCGTGAAGGGAACTTCTCATAGTCTTGGCTTTGCTAACGCGAACTGAAACTTGCTGCTTCATGTTGCCCGGTTCAATGCAATTCGTCACTTGCCTGTAGCATAGGATGCGCAACTGAACGAAAAAATACCAAAATGCAGGGTGGCTCCGCTGATCATTGACAGAAGCTGCGAACGAACGTATTGCATGTAGGATTCTGCTCAAAACAAAATAGATGAGTAATTACCAAAACAAGCCGATTGGGAGCCGCCACAACCCGCGCTAATTGGCCATCGAAATACATATCATCATGCATCCGTAAAAGCGTTGGTTGTAATGCTTTGCTCAATCTCCAATCAATGTCAGTGTGTCTTGGCATGCTTTCTGTGGCTCTCTTCATTGGAAGCTGCCGTGTTCTTTGCCGTTGCTTTCTTGTGGTTTCGCTGGGCCGCAAGTATGAGCCGACCATCGGAGTCACAACCATGTTTCACACAGGGCCGAGAACCCCCATGTCTTACAAACTGACAATCAATGACCTCCAGTTGTGTCTGTTCCTCATATGCAAGCGCATCTGGCAAATTCATGTCCGCCATATCCATGCGTCGAATCTTCTTTGTGCATCATTGCAGGTCCGCAAACAAAGTAAACTTTGGTCGGTTCGTACCTACCACAAGCAGGGGCAACAACTCAAAAGGTCGAAGCATGTACCCCAATATGTACATAAGCTGACTTTAAGATGGATCGTTCGCCCTTGCAGGTCTCTCGAAAGAATCAGAGCCGACACGAGAAATTCTGGAACAAGTCACCCGTCACACTACATCAGGCTCCAATCCGCGCACGTCGCATCGGCCTCTCGTCCACTTTGGTTCCCATTAAATTCACCCCTTAAAGCCTTGGGGAGCTCATGCAGAAGGCTCAAATTGCACCTAGGGTTAGCTGTGGAGTGCCGAAGGTCTCCTTGGTGGTCTGTGTGTGTGGATGTGCTCCAAGCCATGTGATTGGACAAACTCACCACACAAGCTTATCCAAAAGGGGAATATGCAGCACCTTTTCTCCTCCCAAATTATGATAAAGGCGCCTAGTGCACCTTGTTTGATCTTGAGTACTTTTGGTGGCTCGAAGCAAATAGCCCGCAACCTGTGCTTCTTTGCAAGGCTCGGGTCCCGAAGCCACGCGGTTGCCTCGGTCAGAATTACGCGGACGGTTTCCCGATCTACCATTGGAGTGGGACCCTCAGGAAATTTGGACAACTCCGGAACCTCCCGCCCCTTCTCTTTCTCCGCATCATCTGCCGGAGCGTTGCCATTGCCTGACAGAGGTGTTGATAGTGAAATTGAATAAGGAGCCTCATTCAACTGGGCTGTTCAAAATTGAACCATAACTCCCTGTAGGAAACTTACTGGAAAGGGGAACCCAAACGTAACCCCAAAGCAAGGATTGTGGATCACAGGTTCCGAGTCCTTCTTGCGAGCTTAGTTATATGCCCAACCATGTCAGGCATATAGCTCACATGTCATGGCAACCCTTGAAGCGGCAACCCTCTCGAAGGGTTTTAAGTGGGCAATCCTTTTCCCCGAGCTGGCCGCTTCCGCTTCCACCCCTGGCTACATCGGAGACCTCTAGTACAACCGCCTCACCTGCCCAATCAAGCGGCGATGTGGAGAATCGCGATCCTTTTTCAGCTTCCCTCAAATCGGTGGTTTGGAGTGGTGGTTTGGAGTTGTTCCAGGCTGTTGCCCCATTTGCCCTCTACAAGAACCAGGGGTTCAAATCCAAATCTTCAAGCCAATCCAAACTGCCAAGGGTTGCCAGATTTTAAAGGGAACCCAAAACAGGGGCCCAAACTGGATTAACCCTCTACAAATTGAACCTAACATGTAACTCAACAAGGATTGCAAAGCCCCGGGCTGTCAAAGCCACTCCTTCAAAGCAAGTTTCAGACCCTCGAAAAGACACGCCGATCAAGCAGGTGGCTTGGGAAATGTTTGGGTCAGAACTCCGCTGGCCATGGATCCCTTAGGAATCCTCGTGGCTCTGTCTAGGCTTGCCCCCAATTTGGTGGTGGATGTTTGACCAACACGTGGCTTCCCTTCGCTTCTCTTTTGAAACAACTGGTGGTTGAAACTCCCACCATAGGGTTGTCTCATGTGGGTGGGCTTACGTTTGTGAGAAGTAGCCTAGGATCTTTGGGTGATTGATATTTGATCCCAACCGTTTGCAATATTCCGTACACAAACACCTGGGACACTTTAGGGGAACGGGGGATGCATTGTTCAATAGGGCATGCCCCGCCAACATTGGAACTATTGCTTGGGAGTGTCTTGCTGAGTTAGTCTGTTGTTGGATCCGCATCGGTTATGACAGCTTGTCGGCCCCTCAGACCAATGGGATTTGCCAATCGACTTATTGACTGGACCTTCCGAGGGATCTTTTCGATCACCTTTCGAAAGGTGTGCAATGAAAAGATTCGGAAAATCCAACGGTTTCCAAAAGATCTTGTGGGTATGTGCCATATGGATTTGCACTCACCCCCAAAATGGATTTCGGTGTTCGTTTGGCTTCCCTTCAAACCTGCAAAAGGCTGCCCTCTGAAGAAAACACGCAAACGCGTGGGAAAAAGCGCACTCCTTCAGTAGTAGTTGACACTTTAATTGGAAGCCCCCCCTCCGCAAAAAGCACAAAGCCAACAAGGGCACCGCATGCCCGGGATTGAAGCAAGCCCATATAGATTTCTTGGATCCGGCCACTTCTTGCCACTCCGGAGACGCATCTTGGGCGGCCTGAGCGCGGGCTCAGCGCCGCTTCTTCTTGTCTTTGGTCTCTGCCGGCATCTTCAACTCGGTTGCAGTGCATTCCAAACCCCCGACAGCGATGTGCGTCCTTTTCTTTTTTTACGGGACCCACCAAAAGGGGGGGTTTCCTGTTGGCTTCCCATAAAAGCCATCCCAAAACGGGTACCCGCAAAAAACGACACACCCATGTGGCCATGGGTCAAAATCCGTACCCCCTGTGAACATCCCAATCCCCACTAAAATAGACTAGACTGGGTGGTGCACCTACCCCAAAATGGTACTATTGGTTTTGAGCCACAGCCATATGACTCATGACTTGTGGGGTTCGGTTGGTCGAGCCAGCAGCATTCGAAAACCTGCTGTTGGGAGATTTTACACAACCAATGTTTGGGATCCTATTAAGGCAACCATGACCATGACCCATAGAAAGAGTGTGACCATGAGAAAGACCCAATCCAAATTCCCCCCGCCCCAACAAAAGAAAGCAGGGGGCAGAGTCCTATGTCCTCTTGGGGAATGGACATTCGGCGTGCCCTCTTCTCCCAGAATCTGTTCGGGTTCATGGGCCCCCAACCCAAGCAGCTGTGTTTGCAGTGGCCTGTCAGTATCTTGGGACGGGGTTCCTTCTACCCCTTCAGAGGAGATCAGGGGGTTTTGCCAAACCAACCAAAGGTCCAAGCAAGGCACCGCCCGATTGGCCTCGCGCAAGCAACATCCTTACTGGACGAATTGGCCGTGTGCCATCAATCGTAGACATCGATTCTTTGGCCCCCGAACGACTTGCAAGCCAATCTCATTTACATGTCGTCGCCTTTCTAACGCGTCTTGCGTAAGTTGAACCCATGTGTCGTTCTTTGCGTATTCGACATCGAGAGAGTGTCCCACTGAGAGTGTCACACGGTTTTGTGCGAATCTCCGGAGATCTTACAAACGGCGTTATTTGGTCCTCATCCCGCACCACCGTACACTTCCAAACATTGCACGGCCGAAACTTCGTGTGAGCCCAAGCTCCACCCGCCCCGAACCACTGCTCCCCCAAAAGGATACACTCGTAAAACCTGCGTTTTCTCAAAAACAGAAGTCCGAGTTGATTTGTTCCCATTCTTCCTTTTTAGACAGGGTCAAGAAATCGGGCACAAAAAAGAATGGCATTTTACGCCAAATACCTGTTTGTTGAGAGCATCTTCTACAAATTCCCAAGCAACGGGCAACCCGTTCCTTGCGCCGTCCGCCTTGTGGGAGGGAGCCAACATACCGCCCCCCCCCTCCACAACTGAGGAGCGGTTCTGATATCCAGCTCTTACGAGGATTCTGAGAACCTTCCCCCCCAAAAAAACAACAACAAGGCGGGCTCATGACCTTCCTGAAAAAAACGCAAGGCGGCCCCTCATGCTTCATCCAACCTCATCCCCTTTGGCTTGTTTGGTCCTGAGGTCTCGGCGGCTAACCTCCTAGGCTCCTGCATCTCCGCAGGCCGGCTGTTCTCACCTCTCAAAGGACGCGACCGATTTTTCCAGGACCCCTCTACCATCTCGCCAAATACGCTACCACGTCTTCACGGAACTCCGATCGGTAGCCTGTGAGCTGCATTGAAGGCAAATTTGGATAACAGCTCTTTGGCTCGAGCCAGCAGCCAGTCACAACTCAGGAGATTCCTGGGCCTGAGCAGATTCGGCTAGCGTGAAACATGCAAGAATTGGTGAAATCCAAAAGTTGGGGCACCAAACCGACCCCACCGCATTTCCAGAGAGGCGGAATTGTGGGCATGTCTCAATAATCGGAACCCCTGGCAAAGTTGTGCTCCTAAGACAACCCTACCAAAAACATACCCAAAAATAGGGTAAGTTGTCCTTCAGGCGGCCCTACAGAAAAGATTCCCTCAAACCAAATTGTCCTTTCCTTTGGTTGCCGAAAAACAAAAAGATACCCTCAAAAGAAAGTCCTTTCCCTCGGTTGCCGGAAAACAAAAAAAGATAAACCCTTGTAGTGTTCCCTTTCGCTTTAACAATCGGCACCGTGTACCGATTCACGACTCTCCGCCCCTCTTTACCCCATCCATTCGGATCGGATCGGATCCGGGGCCCCGCGCCCGCGGTGGGCGCCGGCATGGCGGCCAAGCGCGCGGCCGCGGAGGCAGCGTTGAGGCGGTTCTGCATGAAGAGCGGCAGCTCCTGGCCGCCGTTTTTTTTTCTTCTCCGGCGCGCGGAGCGGTGATTGGCCAAGGGGCTGCCCGTTTTCTGATCCGCGAGAAGTGACTAACGTTTTGCAGGTGAAATGGAAACTACCACGAAACGCTAAAAAGCTAAAAAGCTAAAAAGCTAGCTGGGAACCACTGAGTTACAGGGGTCCCATGGGCCAATGGGATGACCATGATTTGGAAACCGCTAGGGAAAGTATTCCAAGCACATGAGAAAGTTGGAAAAACACGCAAACATGGGAAAAGATGCCCCTGGTCTTTTGGGGGGCAGAACGGAACATTGATCAAAACCCCATGTGGGCCAAATCCACCTTGGGATACACAAGACGTGATTTAAATAACTTGGCAACCGAAATGGTGGATGTCTCAAACCATTCATCACAAGGGTTGACCTTATTCCAGAAATGGTCGGTGTCCACAATGATCTCACGCTTGAGTCTGACACTGTACAAATTGGTCAAGAAAGCTCAAACTGCGCTGTGTTTGTTTAGCAACAACCACCAGTCAAATTGACTTTTAGGTACAAATGGACCACTCTTAGTTTTTGTGCTTCTCAAAGGAATTGCTCCCGTGAAATGGCAGTCCACCAGTGGTAGTCCTTTTGCGCGGACCAATGAGGACCATACCATTTATGGCTACCACTTTGGAATCCGAAAACTGCGTCACAGGATCCTATAACATGGGATGCCATTTGGAAATATCCATTGTCCGTAATCTAGTCATAGGAACCCATAGGAACTGTCTCAAAATAAGGAAACCTCCAAAAGCAGCCATCCGCAAGATGTGATCTGGAACTCACTTCCTAAGATAAGCCAAGTGAGGGGTCATCACACGGTGGGGTTTTAATGTCAAAACTCCCGCAAAAGCGTGGTCCGAAGTTTGCTTGCCATCCGCAAGCCCCGGAACTCTCAACCCTAAGCATGAGCCGTCAAGTCATCCCGGCTGTCACTGGGCCGACGTGGGTTTGCTCTCAGCCAAGCCCTATGGAATTGTTATCGTTAATCATGCTAGCACCTGCTTTCATAAGCTGAGAAGCGCACATTAATGACCTCAGCCCTTGGTATGGCACAGTGTTCACTCGGATATCCCAGCAAGCATCCCTATGAACAGATCAAGCCGTGAATACTGTCAGTGCTGCTTCATGATCTCTTGGATTGTCACAAAGTAGGATTCGGAAACCAACAAATTGTGGCTTCCTTTTATTTCCCTGCAAAACCAACCAAAATATAAGGGCTTCCCCAAAAAACAAGACTGACCCTTCTGCATGTTATGCCATAATTGCGGCGGACACGTGGTCCTTAGTTATCTTTAAGGTTGCCCCGAACCTAAGCTTCGTTGGCTGTTAATGCCTCGCGACCTTTCCACGAAGCCACCAACTTGTTGTTCGGTCAAAAGCCAGTTGCTGAGATGCTGAGAAGTCCCTTAGAGGAAGCTGACGCCACACAAACGCAAAACTGAAACCGAACAAACACAAACCACAAAGAAACCATCCGGAATCAAGCTGATCCGGGCACGCGCTTGCAAGGTTGCCCAGAACGCTTCCTCAAATCTCTGGACACCCTTTGGCAGCAAGGGCAACGTCTGTTTATGGCTCACTGATCGAGATCAGCAAAATGTCCAAACTTGTTCCTTGTCACAAAGGACTTGTTCCACAAAGGTCAAGCAATATGGTTCCACAAAGGTTCCACAAAGGACTTGTTCCTTGTCCAAACTTGTTCCTTGCCGCTATGGTCTTCCCACAAAGGTCCAGGCCCTATTTGGGCGTCTGGGCGTCAGAGGCGTGGACTTCAACCCCAACTTTTTGTTGGAAAGTCACTACCGGAAATGTTATAGCGAAGTGAGTCTCGCAGATGACTTGGGGGATCTCTACGCTTTCTTGGGACCCCCCCGGCATCCGGATCTTGCGGATTGATTTTGAACAACTTAATTTGATGGGCTCTTTGTCAGACTCCATGTTAGTGGGGAGGGCAACTAAGTGGGAAGGTCAACAGTTAAAGATCCAGTCCTTTCCAAATCGATGCCCATTAATTCAGGCAACTTTGACATCTCCGCACGCGTGTGTCGACGGACGGACACCCTGTCCTTGGGAGCCGAGTAGATGCCCGCCTGAGAGCGCGCGCGGGCGGGAAACCCGGAATGCCGCGCGGGGTTGCAGTTGGACGAACCCCCATGAAGAAAAGCTATAGATTGAAATGGGTAGGCACTTGATTTCGGCACCCTTTGATAAACATCCTTTACAAGAGGATTTATGTCCACAAACCAAACTAGGGGCGAATCGAGCTGATTGAAGGTTTCTTGCCTAGGGATCTGTTGTGTCCAGTTTGTGAACTATGGTAACTTGCCTGGATAGGGTGCTCGCTTGCAGACGATCGGAAGGACGGAGCCCTACAGCCATTCTTTGAGAGAAATCTCCCGTCCGCATTCTGACGGGTAGTTCCAGCACTTGCCTGGCATCGTTGGGCATGGTCAAACTCCATATCATGGTTGTCGTGGGAATCCTTGCAAGTGCCCGTATTCCAAGTAAAAGGGAGTTGTGGCACATATATATATATATATGTCCATGGAATAACCGGTACCAGACATGGGGCTGTGTTTCGTTCCTTGAAGGTAAACCACAAGGAAACCACCGAGTTGCGGAGGTTCCCTGCTTAAAACGTGGAGACAAAATACATGACATACGTTTATTGCCAACTGCGTGCTTTTCTGTGTGTGTGTGGGTGTTAGGTGTAAACAAAGAATAGAACACTATATATATAGATATATATACATACATATGTATGTATCCACAAATATGTGTCGGTGTCTCGGTGTCTCTATCTGTCTGTCTGTCTGTCTGTCTGCCTGCCTGCCTGCCTGCCTGCCTGCCTTCCTGCCTGCCTGCCTGTCTGTCTGCCTGCCTGTCTGTCGGTGTCCGTGTCTGTCTGTGTCTGTCTCTCTCTGTCTGTCTCTCTCTGTCTGTCTCTCTCTGTCTGTCTCTCTCTGTCTGTCTCTCCTTAGACACGGAATGCCCATCGGCCCATCACCTCGCCCTTCTTCACAAAATCACCTATATACATTCACTACAACCCTTTGGTTCATACAAGTATTGTAGTTTGACCTTTCAAACTCGTTTAGATGTCGTATGGATAAAATGTTCTCTTTGTAGAAAAACTATCTGAACTCATTATCACTTTCTCTCCATCTGAATTACGCTACGACACCATCGATATCAGAAATGACAGATATACCATCTTTATGACCTATGATATTCTCGACACCAGTACCTACAAGGGAGCTTGCGTTCTAAGTAACGGCACAGCTTGGCGTTGCATATTAGCCCCCATAAGGGGATCTTTTGGCATCGTTGTTCTCCGCAAATGGAATCAAAGAAGAAGCAACAGAAACAACTTGTACAGGACTGATGTCAACAAACGCCACCTCTTGCGCAGAACCATGAATCCACCCTCGAAAAAATGAAGATATGTCCAAGTAGCTGTCATGTCCATCATTCAAAGCCCAGGGACTCTCTTGGTATCACAGAACATGAACCAGGCCAATGGACAAGAATACACCAAAACACCCCAAAGCTTCCAACTCAACCAAGGTTCAAAGATGAGCCACCCATGTGTCGAGTTTCCCCCGAATGGCCTCCTCAGCGACGCGCATGGCTTTCTCCCCGGCCTCCTTGCCCGCCTTGGGAGGGGTGAGACGTCACGGTCCATGCCATGCCCTGTGGCCCAGTGAGTGCCAGTGAGTCAGCCTCCATGACCCCAAAAAACGGATCAGAACAGGCTGTCTGGGTTGCTGGTTTGGGATATGTGCGAGTTGCCGTCGCTTCTAGTGCTTCTAGTGTATGTTATGCATTTCAGAGGAGGTAAACCAACCTCTCGGAAAAACAAACGACACGAAACTAAAACACATCAAAAACAAACAAACACAATGCTCAGACTGGATCAGCCCTTCCCAAAGCTCAAAGAGCATAACCAAAAAGCAACAAAAACACACACACACAGACACAGACACAGACACAGACACAGACACAGACACAGACACAGACACAGACACAGACACAGACACAGACACAGACACAGACACAGACACACACACATTCCCACATTCCCACATTCCCACATTCCCATATTCCTCAAACACGTTTCAAGAGGTAGGGCTGATCAAATGGACTTTCGTGCTTATTGAAAGGCATTCCTACTTGAAATCCCAGCTTAAAATGGAATTCGAGTTGCACTCTGATTGAACAAATTGCGTTTGAATGTTGACTGGTGCGTACGAAATCTCTATTGGGAAGGAGCTCTTGTGCAAAAACAAGTTGAACTAGAGTATGGCTTATTAAGTATTTAGTTGCAATAGAAACAATTCTGAATGGGTTATTTCCTTCCAAATTCATGTCTAAACTCTAGTTGAACTGTAATGTTCTATTTGGCAAGGAACCGATATCTAAAATCTACATTTAAGATGGCATTTCCCGTAGGATTCGGAACAAGTACGCCCTTCTTGAGTCCTATTTCAATCCTTTCCAAATTTAGTATGAAAAACACTACAAACCAGTGTATTACGGTCTTTTCTGAGGCAAAAACACTAATTTGTGAACTTCTGAAAAATGATACTTAACAATTACCTTTATCAAATTCTACTCTATGTCAAACAGAACACAATCCAATCACAATGTCTATTTTAAATTGGAATTGAAATATAAGAAGCATCATTGTAAAGACGTCCCGGTGGAGGATCTGTTTGGTTCCCCTTTGGTTGAAATTTCGTGGCTCGTCCCAGCCACGTCCCGAAACCCAGGACGGACCATAGACCGCAGGTGTTGACCAGGGCTCACATGCCTGGGCACAAAGCCACTGACAGGAAAACTGGGCCGGCCTCTGCAATTTCCTCCTCGCTCTTGCCGAGCGCACGCGCCTGGCAAATCGATCGCGGCGAATGGCTCTCAGCCCCTGAAGGGTGCGGGGGGGGGAGGGGGGAACTGCTTTGTTTGACTCGAAAGTATGTCTGTTCAGGATGAATTATTGATTTACACAACCCTCGAGAGAACGGCCATGGTTGATTTCAAAACCGGTTTGTTTAAGGCACACTTTGCTTGCAAGATCAGTCGAGGAAGCACCAGTTGCTTTTTTGTACAACATCTGCTTTCTGTTCTAAAAAGGCAAGCTTGCCGGAAAACTTGAAGAGCTCGGTCTTTCAGGAACGCTTAAGATCTCGTTCGTTCACGGAATTAACCAGACAAACCACTCCACCAACCAAGAACGGCCATGCACCACTGAGAGAATCAAGAAAGGGCTATCAATCTGTCAATCCTTACTACTGTGGATAGACGAAATCCGTTCGCACCACTTTGAAACCATGGTTGAAACCATTGTTTCTTGGTATTTACAGGGGAATCGAATCATAAACCAGGATTTCTGAACGGCGGTGCCTGAGAGGATTTCGTCCAACCACAGTATGTCCAGCAATTAGTCGTAGATCCCCTGTAAAACCACAGCGGAAGCTTAACAAACCATCTTCTTCCACACACCGAAAACCCCTCGGGGACTTCGGTGGACCTGGTAAGCTTCGGGACAAAATGGGCGCACGCCTCCTCCTCGGCCTCTCTGGCAGCCTCGGCCGCAGCCGACAGGTCGAACTCGGCCTGCACGAGGCTTGGGAGTGGGTCCCCCTTTGACCCTGCGGACATGGGGATTCAAGCCCACCAACCCTCTTTTAAGAGGTCCCTGCTTAAAAAAAACAACAACATGGCCATGCCTGCAGTGTTTTTACTTGGGTTGCGGTATGGGAATGTGTGTGTGTGTATATATATATATATTATTCGCCAGGAAGTGGGCCAGGCCTGGACTATAAAAATTGCCCGGCCACCCCAGGGTCCACTTGCCAGGTCTATGTCCCCAAAAGGCCAAAAGGGAAGGCCCGGTGTGAGCCTACTTGGTCAACCAACGGGCTTCAATCCGCGAACTTCGGAACTGCACGTTTCGAGCAGGAAATATATGAGCCATGGTCATGTTGGGCTACTTTTCCCTCATCGACTCAGCGCGGTGGGAAGTGGGGGGGTGGGGGGGGGGATGATTACGTTCGCCGTTCTTTTCAGGGCTCGGTCCTCGGTAGGGATGTTTGCTGACCCTGGCGCCATAGCCTTGTCGCTGTCCTACGTTGGAACCTCCGCAGCTCCACCGCAATTGTCGGTGGGACAATGATTCGGATGTGAATGTTCATTTGAAACAAAGAACTTACCAATTCGTGTCGAAACGAAGTTTGGCAACCGCTTCGCCCAATGCTTTGTTGAGGGCATTGGCGAAATTGTTGCGCAGTTTGCCGCACGAAGTTGATGCCTGCCACGCTGCGAGCGAAATGAGCAAAAACCCAACGTGTTTGACACTGACGGCTCCGAAAACACCAAGTGACTAGCGCAACCGTGCCCAGCAGTTAGGTTAGGTTAGGTTAGGTTCGGTTCGGATAGGTTAGGTGAGGGTAGGTTAGGTTAATTAGATTAAACTAGATTTAGATTAGATATATTATTTTGAGACTAACAAGTCTATAGTGCACCCACGGCTGAGCGCCGCCTGACAGCCTCCTGGACTTTAAGACGCTGAGAGGCTGCCTGAACTTTTGCACCAACCGCACTCAACCGCAATGATGATGAACTACAGTAAAGCAAAATACGGGTTCCAACATGTCCCTTTTCTTGCAATATTTGGGGCATCCACCGTGTCAAACTTTTTTTGGGAGTGACTTCGGTAATTCTTCTGCACCTCCTAAACATGCAAGCTTTCTCTTTGCCACTAACATGGTCTTCCCACAAGCTTAAAGTGTACCGCAGCCAGCCACTTGTTTTCAGCAGCTTCTGCTTGCGCGAAAAAAAACCGGCTGTTTCACAGCGGGGCACGTCGTTTCAAAAGATTGGAAGGCTTCGGCTCAGCCGAGCCTTCCTGGTTGGATCAAAGCGCCGGGCTTCTTCTGTTTTAAGTGGGCTGCTCACAATGGATGGCCAATCCGTGTTCATACTCGGACGGACTACCAAGGGAACTCCATAACCACAAGAGAAGGATTAAGGACTTTGAACAACCCACAGCCTTTCAAGCCGCCGGCCGTTGCTCCTAAGCTGAGGCTTCGACTCAGCCAAGGTTCAATTGAAGTGGACTGTGGCGAAAAGAGGATTCGATTCCTCGATTTACCGAGCCAAAAGAAAACGAATCATCCGATCTCTCTATCAAACTGTCAGCCTATACACGGCTGCAGCTTCTAAAGTGACATCTCCTGGAGCACAATTTCAGGAGCTTCAGCCCTCCGAGAACTCCGGGACCTCGATGACCTCACTGACCTCACCGTCATTGACCTTGGCGAAAAGTGTCCGTAGCGCGACATCACCGACTTCATATACCTTGGCTGGTGCAAAAGTCTCCCTGGTACCATAGGTGACCTGTTGCAAAAATAGATGGCCTTAATTTATCTGGGGCATTAAACGAGCTGGTGCAAAATAGGTGCGATCGGCAGGGAATGAGGGAATGAACCAGGGGTCCCCTTAAAGGACACCACAAGGGATAGGGGTCATTCCCTCATTCCCTACTGAGACCAGCAAACAAAATTCCCTGGTATATGTTCCGCAAGAGAACTTCCCTTCCCAAGCCTCAAACCTGGCGCGGAGACCGATGAATCTGCTTTGTGGCACTATCTTACAACTAAAGTCACCCAAGTCAAAGGATTGAAGGGAAACACCCTGAGTACTGGGCCACCTATTTCCCCTTAAACATCACCCCACTCAAAGCACACTTATTCTGAATGGGCGTGGGCACCTAAGGTGATACTCAACGCCCGCCCTTCGGGGAACTGTGGAAGCCTGGGTTGCTGCTGTTGACCCCAAAACGTGAGGACGGTTGCCGCTTTCGGCTGAACAGGTTCAAGGGTTTGGGTCCCTGGTGACCCTGAAAAAACAATACTGAAAAGGGGAACCCCCAAAAAACACACACGCACACACACACATCCATTTGCGCAACGACCCCTCTCGCGTGCAAAAACCAAACTGCACACTAAATGCAAAAACCAACAACCGACAACCAGAAGCAGTTCAAACAACACAAACAGCATGCCAAACAATGAACGCAAGGCCCACGACGAGGCTCACATGTCAAACCACACACAGCAAGCCACAAACTGCAAATACACAAATTGCAACAACTGCACCGCCACCACCAACAACAGCAACAACCCAACCAACCAATCAAGAAGCAAGCAAGCAAACAAACAAAATACACCAGCATAGACCCCAGATAGCACACCACGGCTACGAACCATGACGCAGCATCATAATGGCTCCCGCGGCATCATGATGATGTTGACAGCATCATGATGACACCACAGCCACTCAGCATGGTGCACTACATAAACACACAGACAACTTCCTAATGAGCGCAACAGCATAATGATGATGTTGACAACACCATGCTGACACACCAGCCACGAACGATTACGTGCTACTATGGTGATGCGAGCAGCAGCATGGTGATGCGAACGGCATCATGGGGATCGCAAATGCAGCAGCATGATGGTACCACAGCCACGAATCATCTTGCGACAACGTAATGAAACTCAGCATCATCCTGATGTTGACAGATCATGGCGCCACCGCGCCCACGAACCATAACGCAGCGATTCCAGCAGCATCATGACGTGGTTGACTACATCATGATGATACACCAGCCACGAACCATTACGCGCCACAGTTAGAGCAGCAACAACGTTTGAATCGGTTCAGCTGACTGCATCATGATGCTGCGGACAGCATGATGATGCTACAACCGCGACATCACAAACAGCACGCGCCCTACACCCTGCCACCCATATGCGCCCGCACCGTCACCAACACCTCAAAACAGCAGCCCCAACAGCACCCCAATGCAGCACCTGCGCGCACCGGACATGTCCCCAATCACCCTGCCGTCACGCACTGTCACCAGCACCTCAACTGAACAGCACGCACTTGCGCCAGTAGCCCAAAGCGCATGCCCCCAAGCTCCCAGCCGTCGATCTTGCAATGTCCCCTTCTTCATTAGAAGATAGAACGCCTATGGTAATCAGTTCTCTGGGAGAAGAAAAAAATGCGGTCAGCAGCATCTCAAACAGCAACCCAAAACAGCACTTGCACCACCACCCCAAACTGCATGCCCCCTAGCACTCGCCGGCAATCTCGGAAAATTGCGCCCACAACGTCACCAGCACCTCAAACAGCACCCCAAACAGTACGTACCCCAAAACAGCACCTGTATCAGCACCCAAGCTCCATGAGGCCATCAATCTCGCAAAAATGCGAAGCTCGCAAAACACGTCCAGCGGCACCCCAAACTGCATGAGATCGCAAAACAGCATCCACCAGCACCCCAAACTGCATGCCCCCTAGCACCCGGCCATCAATCTCGCAAATCACTTTCCCTTCTTTACTAGAAGCTATCTGGGGAACAAACAAACAAACAAACAGACAGACAGACAAACAAAAAACAAAACAAACAAATACGCAAATAAATAAATAAATACATAAGTAAATAAAAGGCAAGCAAGCAAGCAAGCAAGCAAGCAAGCAAGGCAAGCAAAAAAAGAAACAAAAGAAAGACAGACAGAAGGAAACAACGAAAAAAACACACAAACAACGAAAATCACGCAACCACGGCGACGACGATGGGATTCGCAGCAGCAGCAAAAACATGGAGGATAGATTGCAATGATTTAAAACAAGTGATTGCGGCGGACACATCTGAAGCGCATCAACCTCAGAAACAACAACAACAACAACAACAACAACAACGGTCCAACCGGTCGTCTGGCCGCGCACACCAACGCCCCGCCCCGTGACAAGGAGCTTTTGCACTGCAAAAACCAATACATTCTAACATCGCTGAATCCAAAGCAGGAGATTTCTCAGGACGCTATTTTACACAAAAACGGCGTCCCAAACACTACAGTTCCACACGAACACACTTTGCATGTTGCAAGAAAACACAGTTCCAAAGCAGAGAAGACCAACTACATATGTAAGAAACCATGTAAAATCCAATCAGTCTATACATATATATATATATACCCTCAAACTTTAGCAACTCAATATACATAATGCCACATAAAATCCAAATAGTCCATACACAGATATATACCCTCAAACTTTAGCAACTCTATACAAATAAAATCATCTAAAATCCAAATAGCCTTTATATATATATATATATCCCAAAACTTTACCAACTACATATATATATAGAGCCATATATACTCCAAATGGTCTATAGTGCCTGGCATGGGTACAGTGGTGAGCGGGTGCGCTTGAACGTTACAGTGCCAAGCGGGTGCACTTGAACGGGTGTTCTTACCATGTGCCTGGCATGGATACAGTGCTAAGCGGGTGCACTTGAACGAGTGTTCTTACCATGTGCCTGGCATGGATACAGTGCTGAGCGTGTGCACTTGAACGGGTGTTCTTACCATGTGGCTGGCATGGATACAGTGCTGAGCGGGTGCACTTGAACGAGTGTTCTTACCATGTGCCTGGCATGGATACAGTGCTGAGCGGGTGCACTTGAACGGGTGTTCTTACCATGTGCCTGGCATGGATACAGTGCTAGCGGGTGCACTTGAACGGGTGTTCTTACCATG